TAAAAGGATGCCTGGAGTTTGTCTCAAGCTGAGGGCAGAGCAGGAGGCAGGCCTCTGTGGAACAGGGCCTGCTGCCTTAAGGAAAGCATTTTTTCCCAGCCTGTCTCCCAGTCTCCCAAGTCCGCTAACTCTACTGAATTAAGCTTCAAGTTCTGTTCCTGCAAACTCAGATGGGAGGCTCTCAAGGTCAGAGAAAGGCCCTCTCCCCACTTTCTGAGGTGCCCTGTCTCCTCATGCCCTCTTCCCCTGAGGATCGTTCTGGACAGATCGGCCGGCACAAGCTAGGTCTTTGCTTCCTGGCCCGGAGGAGCCTGCCGGCCAGGAGGCCCTGAGTTACAGGGCGCTGAAGGCATGTGGTCGGGCAGGCGGCTCGGTTGTAGAGCTGTCTGGCACAGGCCTCCGTGACTCCGCTCGCTGAACTCTGGCTGTGGGGCTGCAAGGATGAACACCCACAGTCTGGCTTTTCTGAGAGGTTTTAATGAGGACGGGACTTTCGAAAGGCTAGTTTGTTATCTCATGAATCGTTGTAAGCCACCTGCAATCCTTCCTGAAACCGGATGGCAAGAAATAAAACAAACCATGGTACACCCACCCCCGAGCAGACTTAGACTTCTAAGAAATGATAACAGCTGTGACCTTGGAGAAAGCCAAAGATTTCTCTCCACTTCTGTTGTGTTCTAGGGGTAGGTGGGGAGCTTTTTTTGATTTAGTTAAAATACCACCAAAACCCCTAAGCAAATAAAAATGGTCAACAACAGAAAATCCCAAACTAAAAAAACACTTACGATCATCCATAATTCCCAATGTGGAGAAGAATTTGATAAAAATCTGGGTAAGCAAAATTAAAAAGAAAATTCTTGGAATATTTAGAAAAAAAATTACAGTGTGTGTTTGTTTAAACCCCTCCTTAACCGAGAGCCAGGTGCGTGGGGATATGATTTAATTCTAGTTTTCCAGAGCCTTACCGTCTTCCCCTTCACCCATTCGGTGGCTAACGAGCTGGAGGCAATTGCAGAACCACAGCCAAATGTTTTAAACCTGGCGTCCACGATCTTCCCCTTTTCATCCACTTGAATCTAGAAAAAGGGCAGGAGTTAGCAGGGTTCTGGTGCTGCCTGCAGAACCTGGCACTAAGCAGGCCCACAGGGCACTTCCTGAGAGTTTTGGTCCTGCTTTCCATACTCAAAAGTTTGGGCATTGATTACTGAGGCCCTCTGTTTCAAAGAGTTCAGCAATGAAAAGCTGCAAGCAGGAACAACTATACAGAATTATACGGGCCTAGCTGGCAAAGATCAACCAAAAAAGTATGCCTCCTCCCCAGTCTCCTCCCACTCCCAAGCCTGATTTTTGGCTTCCCAGCTGCTGGGTCAGTGTGCATCTTTAAACACTGCGAGAGTTGGCAATAAAGGTCACTGGTTAGTACTTTTTCCTTTGATATCAAACTGCATGTAGTGCGTACCCTCCTGCCTTCTTTCTGTTTTCCAAGATAGGCATGAAGCCGTCTGGTCAGCTTCCCACCACAGTGACAAAGGAGATGTGGAGAAAGCTATGGTTTACCAGAGTGCCAGGCGCTTCCAACATGGGGGCAGGGAGAATTTGATCTATTGCATTTTCTGTCCCTCTGGGGATTGCTAACTTATAACAGTGAGTATGAACCTGATATCCATTTATTCTGTCAGAAGGGGTCAGCCCTGGCTGGAACCATTTATAACACTGACTTATCCCACCTCGCAGGAATCAAGGTGGGGACCAGAGGCAATGCTGGACATGTAAATGCTCTGTCAACTACGGAGCACTGTACAAGCAAAGGGTCACCGTTACCACCAGTAAAGATGGAAACCAGGGGTACCTGTAATTTCATGACATCACCACACGCTGGAGCCCCCACCAATCCAGTCCCAACATTTTTAGATGTCTTGTCAAGGGACCCCACGTTCCGGGGATTTTCATAATGATCAACCACCTGAAATGAGACAGTGAAGAGAAATCAGTCACTCTTTTTTGCTGTTGGTCTCCCCGACTTTGATGGCAAGCTCCTTCAAGTCAGCAAGCTGGACCTGGCAGGCCATCACTAAATACCAAATTTCACTTGGGTAGGATTTAAGAGATATGGGGATCCTGGAGAAAAATCAGCAAAATCATGTTTTAATTCTGTGGGGTTTTGAACCACAAATAATTACTTGATCTCTAACCACCCAAGTCACAGAGTTGGGCTCAAACAGCACTTTTGTAATTTCGGAAGAAAATCCATTCTCAAAAGAATGATGGCTATTCAAAAACCCCATAGGTCCAGACAGGGAAGGACTTCCCAGAAACCTTCAGGAGATTGTTACAGGAGGAACAAGGCCATTTGTGTGCGGTGATAAATAATAACCATGACTTTATTTCGGGGCCCTGAAATCTGCGGTGCCGCAGCGCGCCCTGGTGGCGGAAAGGCTGCGAGCGCCAGGTGTACTGTCAACAATAAACAGCCCTGGGTCCGCGGGGAGTGAGGTCTGTGCTGCGCAAAGGCGTGCAAGCCAGACCAGAGTAGACTTCTATTCAAACTGGCACACGCGAGGCTTTAAAAACCTTGCGGTTTGTTTCCCAGTTAGCCGTTAAGTATTCCGAGCTTCCAGTCCCCTTCCCCCGACCTATCCGACCACGGATTTTGACTTCCAAGTCCAAGGATCTGTAAAATAATATCCAATCTGGACTTTCTGCCCCGGGGTTGATTTACCGCATTCTTTTTTTAGTTAACCGGTTCCCGAGTGAGACGCGTCTCATGTTCAGGGACTTTACGGAAGCCCGCGGAAGGTATGGGCTGCCAACTACCCAACCTGTCTCTTAACTCACAGCGTCCCCCCACCCCCAAACCAAACCAAAACAAACACAAAAACGTGACGACTGTTGGTTACACGTCCACGTTCACTCGGAGGCTCTGAGCTCCTGCAACAGTAACATCAACCCTCAGTGGCCTCCCTGTGCCAAGCGCCCTGCCCAGGACTCGCAGGCAATGGTCTCGCATACGGAGGGGCTGCCCAGACCCCATCTGGGGAGCGCGGGGCAGTAGCTTGCCAAAGGTCACTCGGCCAGGGCAGTGGTTTTGGCTGAAGCCGGGGCCCGCGCCGCTGTGTGTCCGGCTGGCCCGGACGGAGCAGGACCCTGCTTCCTGGGCAGTCGAGAGGTTTAAAGGGTGGATGGATGCTTTAAATTTAGGGCAGCGGCTGCTAGGCTAGCGGGAGCTGTCATTCTTGTTTGAGGCGCGGTTAAGTTGCCCCAGCGCAGCGAGGGAAAGTCATTCGAGGCGGCATCTTGAGAGGAAGGCCCCTCCATCCGGGGTTGGGGGCGGCCAGGGCCCTGGGCTATAGTCGGGGTTCCAGGGCCGCGCAGAGCTGGGAGGGCCATTAGGCTGGGCCTCCGCTAGGACCCTTACGTTCTCTCGGTGGTCCTCGCACTCCCGCCCCGCCCCCGCCCGGCGGACCCCCAGGCCGCTCTTACCTTCTTGTGATAGAGCCGAGCGGGAGCTGACAGCTCCCGGGCGGGCAGGCGCGGGGCCCGGAGCAACACGGCCGAGGCCGCCCGCCTCAGACGGCCCACTCCAGCCGCCGCCATCTTGCGGGCTTGCGCTCGCGCAGGTGGAGCGCGCGGCCGAGGGGAGGGGCGCGTGCGCGAGTCGGCTCCCAGCTGGGAGCGCGCACCCTCTAACGTCCCGGCGACCTTGCGCCTGCGCCCTCCCGCTGCGTTCACGTGTTCGCGTTTTGTTCCCGGGGCGCGGAGCCCAAAGGGTTGAAATCGTTCTAGGGCTGGTCCACCGATCTGGGTTCTGAATCTTGAGGATCCTTGAGCTGGAAATCGGGACCCAGCTTTGCGTTCATAAAGCAGCCCCCCGCCCCCCACCGCCGGAATTCGGCGCAGAGGATCAACCAGCCCACAATTCTTGGCTCTATTTTGCAGCTTAGGAATTTGAGGATCAGAACGGTTTAGTAACTTGCCCTAGGGTTGCCCAGAGGGGCCCAGTTGGGATTATGACTTGAACAGTCCTTAGTTAGAATCTTGTTTCTGCTCCTAACTGGCTGTGTGCTCCTAGGTGAAAGCGTCTTTGTAAACCTCGATCTTTTTTGTACTAATTCAAGGACAGTTCTTCATCCATTGAGCAAATCTGTGTTGAGTATCTACTTTTTGTCAGGGTGCTTTGGGAAAACAACCAAAAAAGACACAATTAAGCTTGCTAATGAGGGAGCAAGGCAATAAATAGACCCACCAAAGTTTTTCTACCTCTAAAGTGAGAAGCTTAACTTAGAAAGAATGCTTTGCTCTGATTTTAAAGTGTATATGTTTATGTCTCTTAAAAAGCAAACTGGCACAGATAAAATCACAAGATATAGCAATGAAAAGATTCTAAGTAAATGTTTATCAATGTAATTTATTGATACTGGTTTGCAGAATATGATCCTATAAGATCAAAACTCACGTGTATTGAAGTGCTAGGCGCCAGGCATTAGATAAAAGGAAGGAATCTCTGGGAAATGAGTTATTCTCATGAATGGTGCAATCGATCCTTCCCTGAGTGAGGACTTAAGACTTTTCTGCGCGTTTGAGGCTCAGTTGCTGGGGAGACTGAATCACGCGCCAGATCAGACTAGGTAGTGAGGTAGTTATTCCAAGAATCATTTTTGACCTTCTCAAGATGGCGCCAAAACCTTAACTATAACCATCACGCTCACTCCGTGGCTGCCTCTATGGCTTCCACTTCCTGCCTAAGGACCCAACTGCTGTCCGACGTTGCGCCGGAACGCATGCCCTGTTGGTGAGCACTTTTTTCTGAACAATAACTACTGAAAGTATATAAAATAACATGAATCTCGTGTATTTCGAGATTTCTATGTCATCCGAGGCGTAGAGTTTCTCTAAAGGGGGCAGAAGAGCGGGATTTTGACCAGGCGCGCGCCGCGGGCAGCTCCTACTACTGCGGGTCTTTGGCGGCCAAGTGAGGACCCGGGAGTCTCTGGAAGTCCAAGATGGCGACGGCGGCCGCAGCATCGGCTTCTGAAGCGGAGGCTGAGCCCAAGGCCGGGCCCGAGGCCGAGGGAGGGGAGGATGAGGCTAAGGCGGCTCGGGCGAGGAGGAAGGTGTTATCGCGGGCCGTGGCCGCCGCGACGTACAAGACCATGGGGCCAGAGTGGGACCAGCAGGAGGAAGGCGTGAGTGAGAGCGATGGAGATGAGGAGTACGCCATGGCTTCCTCGGCCGAGAGCTCCCCCGGGGAGTACGAGTGGGGGTACGACGAAGAGGAGAAGAACCAGCTGGAGATAGAGCGGCTGGAGGAGCAGGTGGGCACGGGGGTGGGCTGCGGCGGCGGGCTCTCTCCCTCGGGTTCCCAGGCCCCGGCCCGCCGCCCTGGTCCACGGAGGTAATAAAGAGCGCCAAGGCCTCCAAACCGCAGTTGCCCAGCACGTCTCAGGTCCTTAGAGCGCTTACTGCTCGCCAGAGGATAACGCTCAAGCGTTATCCTCTTGAACCCTCGCCAGACCCCGGCGAGGGAATTGTATTTCCCGTTTTGTGGGAGGACCCTGAGGCTCCTGGTGGAGGGAATTCTCTTGCTCACCATTACACTTCCTGCAAGTGGCGAGTAAGGCTTTGAACTTTGAATCAACTCCTCAGCTCCCGCGCTTAGCCATACCGTTCAGCTGTGTCCAGGCCTAGAAATAAGATTCGTTTCCTCCAAGAAGAGTTATTTGCCTGTAGGAATGACGAAGATAAGGAGCTCTGGCGTGGTAGGGAAAATAGTGACCGTGACGGTGATAATAGAAACGGAATGGCGTCTGGAGGCTAAGGCCCCAGTTCTAGCTCTTCCATACCTGTGTGCGCTCAGGCCGGTATTTTAACGTCTCTCATCGTCCACTCTATAAACTGGAACAAATGGTTCCCGCCCAGAGAATTGTAACGGTAATCAGAGCTCGGGGCCTGGCAATAGTAGCTATGTGATCTCTAACCTGTAACCTTAGGAGGTACAGGTGGTGGTGTCTCCTATTTAATCCAGGATCCCAGCCGGAAATAGCACATTCAAGTTAGGCGAGTTTGGAGTAAAGGCCCATAAAGAGACTGGGCCTCCCAGCTGGCTCAGTGGTGAAGAATCTGCCTGCAAATGTAGGAGACATAGATTTGATCTTTGGGTTGGGAGGATCCCCTGGAGAAGGAAATGGCAACCCACTCCAGTGTTCTTGCCTGAGAAATCCCATGGACAGAGGAGCCTGCCGGGCTGCTGTCCGTGGGGTCACAAAGAGTCGGACAAGACTGGGCACAGCACAGCAATGGCGAGACTACTGAGTCTAGGGCAGGGAAGTCAGGAGCAAAGGTTTGGTTCCCCAGGGCTAGTAGTTTAGCAGGACCTTTAGGTGTCCACCTGCAGTCCTGTAGAGGTGATGGGAGTGACTGGTTTTCTAGATAGTTTGTGGAGAGGATCCCTGAGAGGAGTTGAGATGTTTGTTCCAGGGAGGTAGCCCCTGTTTCCCATCATGGAGTTGGGTGGGCAAGAAGTACCTTGACCTACCTCTGTGCCTTGCTTCCACATGGCCTTCTGCGCAAACCCTGCTGGAAGCCAGAGACCCGGAGACTCCATGGATGTGGTCCACACGGTGGGTCCCAGGACAGGGAGGGGAGAGAGTGGAGTAGACTTGGAGGGGAAAAGATAGAGCTCAATCTCGTTTTACAGACGAGGACACTGAGGCTCAAAAGGACTGATGAAATGATTTGGTCAGAGTCAGGCCTAAGGGCATTTGAACCTTTCAAGGTTGTCTGTAGACCGAATGCCATAGTGGCTATGAAAGCACTTAGTGATGTGAGGTTGGTAGCCTGGGTTTCTCAGTTAACTTGGCTGGGTATGAGATTCCTTATAATGTCCTCTCTGGCGGTGATGTTCCTGTTAAGTTGTGAAATAGTTATATCTTCTCTTGGTGTATCTGTCTCATATGTCATCCCATCTGAACCAGCCAGGGGTAGGCAGGTGGTTACTGTTTCTGCCTTTAATAAACAAGCATGCTGAAGTCCATTCATTCTCTGGCTCATTCAGCAGTTGCAGTGTAATGTGAGGTGGCAGGCCGCCTGTGACTGTCCTGGTGGCAGTCTGTTGCTCTGGCCTTGGGCCTTTCAGTGAGCCCTTAGCTTGCTCAGTCGGGCAAATAGGATTACCTGTTGAGGGGGAAAGGTAGGCTCGGGAGCAGAGGGATTAAGTCCTCAGTGAGGGTGCGCTGCTCACTGAAGTGGAGGCTGGGTCAGGGCAGAGGTCACCTGGCCACTGGTGGTGTGCACTTGCCAGCCCTGGCTCAGGCCACCACACAGGACAGCATCCGGCAGGCGACGGTGACCTGAAGAGCCACTGCTTTATCATCTTCCTGGGCTCCAGAAATGGACTTTTCCAGTTTTTCCAAAACTCCCTCCCACACCCTCCTAATCCCAGCCTCTAGTTCTTGCTGTAACGACTCTCCTGGTGGAGTGTGATGGTCAGTAACTTCCAGAGAGGCCCGCGAAGCGCTCGACCTTGTCGTATTTGAATTCTGCTTCTCACCCCAAGTGTTTCTATGAAAGCTCGCAGTCAGCTGTGAAATCTGTCCCGGTGACAGAAGCAGAGGCGTCCCACTGTGTGTGTGGTCGTGGCTGAAACTAGGCGTGGTGCCTCGTGGTCCCTTCCCGTGATTGGGCCGAGCGTGGTCTCCACCAGGCGCCTCTGTCACCTGCGTCCCCCGCCCCGTCCAGGTCCAGGTTGCGCTGGCGGGGGCTGAGAAAGCCTGTTGCAGAGCGCTTGCAGGATGGCTAGGCCGCCTCTTTCTTTGGAGGGTCCTTTGTCCTTGGCGATGTTCTGAGAGCGGACTAGATCGGCACGTGTGCTTGTTTGTCAGCTCTGGTTGAACTCTCTGAAGGTTCTCTTAAACGCATGGCATTGTGTATTAAAGGACGTACTCCCAGAGCGCCTCTCCATGTACTCTTCATCCTCTCCTCTTCATCATTTGGGCCTAAATATCAGAAATTTAGACCGACAAGCATCCTAGAGACATTTCTTCAGTGGCTTTTGTACATTGCAGTGCTGACCTCCCTGTGGTGGTCACAGGAGGGCTTGTGTAGATGTTACTCCCAGGATTCCCCACCCCTTCGTGCCCAGAGAACACATTCAGACCCAGGTGAGTTGGCGTGATGGGGTGACCTGGAGAGCCATGCCCGTGCCTTCATGAGGACAGTGCATCTCTCACCATCTTCTCTTCTTTCACTGTCGTTACTTGTGTGACACGCTTGAATGTTGGTTTTGAGACGTCGCTGTGTCACAGGAGCCCACGTGAGATCCAGAGGTGCGCTCTAGTGCCTTCCAGTACAGATGGGGAAACAGAACTGGTGGCTGTTAGAACACTTGTGTCCTGACCGCATTCTGACCTTTTTCAGCCCATCATGTAATCATGGGGTGGGTTCAGCCTGTCAAGTTTTATCAGTCATGAGCAGGAAAACATTGCTTAAAGATTCTTCTAAAAAATTACGGGTCGTGGGCTTATGTGTTATTGACTCTTTATTATCTGTTTGCATGTAATTTAAAAAAAACATGTTTTTATTTATTTGATTGTGCTGGGTCATAGTTGCAGCGTGCGGGGTCTGTGGGATCTTCTTGTTTTAGCTGCCGCATGTGAGGTCCCGTTCCCTGACCAGGGATTGAACCTGGGCCCCCTGCACTGGGAGCGAGGAGGCTTAGCCACTGGGCCACCAAGTCCCTGTTTACGTGTGACTTGACGTATACGGGGCAGTTCACGTCTGTAAATTGTAAAGGGTGGTAAAGAGGTGCGCATCCTTGCTCTGCCCCTCACTCTCAGGGTGGGGACTTCATCAGTGACGCTGCCGGTCCGGACGGCCTCTCCCGCTTCCCACTGCCCAGCCTCGATCCTCACTGCTGCCCCACACCCCCAAACCCGGGTGACTGCTTTCTTGAACCTGATGGACTTCTGCTCCCTTCTCTTTTAAAATGTATAATTTTATCCACTAACTATGCTGCCCGGAGCAGATACTATCTGCTTTTGTTTGTTTTTGAGCTTTTAAGAAAGCATATCATGCAGTGTGTAACCTGGGAGTGCTTTCCACTCAGAGGTGTGTTTCTAAGATTCCGCCACGTTCCTTCTAGTCATCCATTTTGACTGCTGTGTATTCAGTACACCAGGGTGTGAGTAGCACACAGCTTATCGGGTGTTCTGGCGTTTGAATTGCCTGCAGTTTTTTCCCTAATACAGACTAGCTACAGGGAACGTTGTTCCTGATAAACTGCCGCTCTTGAAGCTATGTAAGAGTCAGTATTGCTCAAACTGGGGTCATGGCCATGGCTCGTGAGCTGACTTCAGCGGATTCTCCAGTGTCCCTCGGATACACTTTCTGTGTGTGGGGGTCTGTTTCTCGGCACTCTAGTGTTCTGTTGGTCAGTTTGTCCTGTGTCTGTTCTGTGGTCCAACTCATTATCTGCTGAGACAGATCCTCTTACCTGCAGTTTAATGCAATAGCTAGTGTCTAGATTACTAAGAGTGTGTTGTCAGATGGCAGTGTTAGTTGAATGAATTATCATTCATCTGTCGTCTCTGGAGAGGGAAATATTTATTGCTGAAATGTTGTGGCAGATGTTGGAAGAGTAGACACTAATCTAGTCTCAGTGTGTAGACTTTAGAAAAAATCTACCGATTTGGCTGTGCTGGGTCTTCGTTGCCACGAGCGGGTTTTCTCTGGTTGCGGGGGCTTCTTGCTGGTCACGGTGGTCTTGGTGCAGTGGCTTTCCTTGCAGATCGTGGCTCGGTAGTTGTGGTGCTTGGGTTTAGTTGCCTCTCGGTGTGTGGGACCTTCCTGGACCAGGGATCAAACCCGTGTCCCCTGCATTGGCAGGCAGGTTCTTAGCCACTGAACCGCCAGGGCAGTCCCTAGACTTTGTTTTAAATTATTTGTCTGGCTGCACTGGGTCTTGGTTGAGACCTGTAGGGTCTAGTTCCCTGACCAGGGGTCAAACCCGCGCCCCTGCATTGGGAGCTGCGGGGCCACCAAGGAAGTCCCTTGGTGTACAGACCTAACGTGACCTCATACCCTAACTCATTTGAAAGCTTTTTTAAAAATTAAACTTCGTTTTGAGGTAATTGTAGGTTTCCTTGCAGTTCCAAGAAATAATATAGACAGATCCTATGTACCCTTTATCCAGTTCCCCCAGTGGTGAACTGGAGTACCGTTTCACAGCCCTCGTATTGACACTGCCAGAGTCAATACACGGATGGGCTCTGTCACCTCAGGTCCCTCCTCCAGCCCAGATAGAGCCACAGCCTGACCCCTGACACCCACTAATCTGATCCCTACTCCTATAGTTTTCTTATTTCAAGAATATTATGTAAGTGGAATAATATAGTAGGCAACCCTTGGGAAGGAGCTTCTTTCACTCAGCACAGTTCCCTCAAGATTTATCCAAGTTGGGTGTGTGTATTAGTTGGTTCCTTTTTATGGCTGAGTGGTTTTCCATGGTTCATTTACCCACTCACCCGTTGAAGGATCTCTGAGTTCTTTCCAGGTGTGGTTGTTAGGAGTACAGCCATTATGCCATTATGCACAGTCCTATACGGGTGTTTGTGTGAACCTATGTTTTATTGCTCTGGAAAAATGCCCAAGGGTGCACTTGTTGGGTTGTACAGTAGTTGTATGTTGAATTTTAAAGGGAACTGTTTTTTTTTTTAACATCTCTAGCATTTGGTGGTGCCCCTGTTTTCCCTTCTGGCCATTCTTGGTTTTGTGTCTGTTTCTTTTTTCTTTCTTTAAAAACATTTAGTTTTGGCTGTGCTGAGTACTCCTTGCTTTCTCTAGTTGTGACAGGTGGGGGCCCCTCTCTAGTCGTGGTGTGTGGGTTTCTCTTGGTGGCGTCACTTGAGGAGCTTGGGCTCTAGGCTTTCAGGCTTCAGTGGTTCTGGCAGCCGGGCTCAGCTGCCCCGCAGCATGTGAGATCTTCCTGGACCAAAGGTCCAGCCTGTGTCCCCTGCTTTGGCAGGCGGGTTTTTTAATCACTGGACCACCAGGGAAGTCCCCTTTTGGCCATTCTGATCGGTGTGTAATGATAGCTCATTGTGGTGTCAGATTGTGTATCCCTTACAGCTAATGATGTTGACACTACTCACCTGCACTCTGTGTCCTCTTTGGATATACATTTTTGGTTCATGTCTTTCGCCTACTTTTTATTTGGATTGTTTGTTTTTTAACTCTAGTTTGGAGTTACATCTTTTAGATGCTAACTTTGTCAGATACTTGAGGTATACATTTTGCCCCCCGCCCCATAGCTTGTCTTTGCATCCTCTTGACAATCTTTCACGGGACTTCCCAGGTGGTATAGTAGTAAAGAATCTGTCTACCAGAGCAGGAGACACAATTCTTGCCTGGCAAACCCGATGGACAGAGGAGCCTGGCGGGCTGTACAGTTCATGGGGTTGAAAGAATTGGACACGACTTAGCGACTGAGCACACGTGAGCACAACAGTCTTTTACAGAGCAAAAAGTTTAATTTTGATAGCATCCTGACTTGCTGAGAGTTTTTATTGTGAATGGTTGTTTTCTGTATTAATTGATATCATGAATTTTGTTTTTTATTTTGTTATACAGTGGAATACAGTGACTTAATTTTTAAAGATTGAACTCGCCTTGTATACCTGGAATAGCTCCCACTTAATCTTGGTGTGTAACTCTTTTTGTACATTGACTTTAGTTCTGTAGGTTTTCCTTTCCACGGAGTGTTAGCTGCAGTCTACTTATTTTGATTTGCTGTATTTTCATTTTCATTCAGTTATAGCTTTGCGCAGTGACAGTATCGTAGCCAATGAGGTTTATCCGAGGCGCGATTATTGCTAATTGAAAACTTTTCTCATTCAGTTCTATGTATTTTAAATTTTCTTTGAGATTTCCTCCTTGATCGATAGATTATTTAGAAGTGTATTGCTTGGGACTTCCTGGTGGTCCAGTGGTCAAGATTCTGCCTTCCAGTGCTGAGTTTGTGAGTTCAATCCCTGTTTGGGAACTGGGATCCCACATGCTGCAGGCTGTGGCCAAAAAATTAAAAAAAAAATTTTTTTATTGCTTAATATCCAAGTGTTTAGACAGATTGATTCCTACAGTAATTGACTTCTAGTTTGCTTCTCTTCTTACCAGAAAACATACTCTGTATGTTTCAATTTTTAAAAAATGTGTTGAGGTTTGTTTTATGGCTCAGGATATGGTCCCAGTGAATGTTCTTGGGCACTTGAGAATACTGTGTTATTCTGTTATTGTTGGGTAGGGTGTTCTTTATATAGCAATTAGATCATGTTGGTTAATGGTGTTGTTGAGTTCTTTTATATCCTTGCTGATAATCTGATAGTTCTTTTAGTTTCTGAGTGGGGGCTGTTTAAATTCCCAGTGTAATTGTGGATATGTCTGTTTCTTGTTTTAGCTGTATCAGTTTTTGCTTCATCTATTTTGAGATTCTGTTGTTTGGTGCCTGCATATTTAGGATTGTTTTGTCTTCCTGGTGGGTTGATCCTTTTATCATTATGTAATGTCCTGTTTTATCTCTGATAATTTTCTTTGCTCTAAAGTTTATTTCATGTGATATTAGTAGGGCCACCTCTGCTTCTTTTTGTCCGCTGCATGCTGGATCTTTCCCCGTCCTTCTGCCTTGTATGATTTTATTTGCTTATTTATTTTTGGCTGTGCTGGATCTTTGTTGCTCTGCAGGCTTTTCTCTGGTTGTGTGAGTGGCGGCTGCTCTGCAACTGTGGTGTGTGGGTTCTCAGTGTGGTGGCTTCCTTGTTGTGGACACAGGCGCTGGGGCGCGTGGGTTTCAGTAATTGCGGCAGGAGCACTCCGTGGTTGTGGTTCCTCGGGCCCTAGAGCACAGGCTCAGCAACGGGCTTAGCTGTTGTGCAGCGTGTGGGATCTTCCTGGATCAGGGCTCGAACTCTTGTCTCCTGCATTGGCAGGGGGATTTTTTTTTTTTTTTTAAACCAGTGAGCCACCAGGGAAGCCCCCTATCCTTTTCCTTGAATTTGAAGTGCATTTCTTGTAATTAGCATTCAGGTAGGTTGTGTTTTATTCACTCTGCTATTCTCTGCCTTTTGATTAGTATGTTTAGACCAGGTGCTTTAAAGGTAATTATTGATATTGACGTATTATTCTTTCCTGTTTGTTTCCTGTCCGCTGTCTCTCTTTTTTCGCCTTTGTATGGGTTACATGAACATTCTTTGGATTCCAGCTTGGTTACTCACCAATTTTTAGAGTCTTGCTCTACATAGTTTCTTAGTAGTTGCTTTGAGTATTTCAGTGTGTTTGATTTACAGGGTATCTGTGTTTGATCCCTGAGTAATGTTGAAATAGTCCTCCCATTTAGGTCTCTTTACCATTCTTCCTTTTTAATGTCCTTGTTTTGGGTGTCAGATAGTCTTAAAGTTGTTTCCATCACCGCATACAATTTAGAAGGGTCAAGAAGAGAAAAGGTTCATCTGTTGTGCTTACCTGTATTTCTGCTCTTTCTTCCTTCCTGATACACCAAGATTTCTCTTATCATTTTCCTTCTCTTTGAAGAAGTTCCTTTAGCTGTTTTAAGAGTAAAAGCCTGCTAGTGACAAATTCTTTTAGTTTTTCTTTGTTTCAGATGTCCAGTATCTTTGGAAGCAGTGATCTTAATTTATTTACTTTTAGTTTGAAAAGTTTGAAATAAATCTTTTTGTACCCATAAAAATGTGCTTGTCCTGGAAATAGAACTGCCATATGACCCAGCAATCTCACTTCTGGGCATACACACCGAGGAAACCAGATCTGAAAGAGACACGTGCACCCCAGTGTTCATCGCAGCACTGTTTATAATAGCCAGGACATGGAAGCAACCTAGATGGCCATCAGCAGACGAATGGATAAGGAAGTTGTGGTACATATACACCATGGAATATTATTCAGCCATTAAAAAGAATTCATTTGAATCAGTTCTAATGAGATGGATGAAACTGGAGCCCATTATACAGAGTGAAGTAAGCCAGAAAGATAAAAGACCATTACAGTATACTAACACATATATATGGAATTTAGAAAGATGGTAACGATAACCCTATATGCAAAACAAAAAAAGAGACTCCTATGTATAGAACAGACTTGTGGACTCTGTGGGAGAAGGCGAGGGTGGGATGTTTCAAGAGAACAACATTGAAACATGTATATTATCTAGGGTGAGACAGATCACCAGCCCAGGTTGGGTGCATGAGACAAGTGCTCGGGCCTGGTGCACTGGGAAGACCCAGAGGGATTGGGTGGAGAGGGAGGTGGGAGGGGGGACCGGGATGGGGAATACATGTAAATCCATGGCTAATTCATTTCAATGTATGACAAAAACCACTGCAATGTTGTAAAGTAATTAGCCTCCAACTAATAAAAATAAATGGAAAAAAAGAAAAAAAAGAAAAAAAAAATGTGCTTGTCACTCGGTACCACAGACTGGTACCAGTCTGTCACCATTCTTGTTTCTCCTGGTAGGGATTTTCATTTGTTTGTTCAGTAAAAGAAAAGGGCTCTTACTTACATGTCCCTGACATGTGCTACAGTGTGATACTGAATTACCTTTCAGAATTCTCACAATCTGGTGGTGTAGCCCATTTTACAGATGAGAAAATGGAAGCTTAGAAAACTGAGTGACTTGCTTCAGGTCACACTTTGTGTTTGTTTCATTAGACTGTTTCCTGTATTTCTGGGAGAACCAAGTGTGTTCTCACAGGACCTGTAACAGATTTGAAGGAATGTTAGATTTATTGTAAAAAGTCTCTCAGAAATTTCCTGGTGGTCCAGTGGTTAGGACTCTGCCAGGGGCCCAGGTTCAATCCCTGGTCAGGGAAGTAAGATCACACACGCCGAGTGGTGTGGTCAGAAAGAAAAAAAAAATCTCTTGTGTATTTTTCTCCATCTTCCTGAGGGAAATGTTGCCTTGCTGTTTTTGTGTCTCTTCCAGAAAACACATATTTTGCGCTTGTAGCAGGCGTGTGCTTTCACCAGCGGTGACGGAAGCCGAGTTATTTCGATGACCGCATTCTAAGTCTCCACCTGTGTCCCCTTTGCTTCCAGCTGTCTATCAATGTCTATGACTACAACTGCCACGTGGACCTGATCCGGTTGCTCCGGCTGGAGGGGGAGCTGACCAAAGTGAGGATGGCGCGCCAGAAGATGAGCGAGATCTTCCCTTTGACCGAAGGTAGCGCTTCTGCAGTCGGGCTGCTTTCGTAAACACAGAGAATTGAAGTCTTTTTTTCTGTGCTGAAAGTGGGACATGCTCCTTATAAAAAATTCAGAACAGATAAGTGTAGTGGAAAGAAGAAAATCCATCCAAAGTCAGTGACTTTTAGTTTATCATCTTCTGTGAAGTCGCTCAGTCATGTCCGACTCTTTGCGACCACATGGACTGTAGCCTACCAGGCTCCTCGCTCCATGGAATTTTCCAGGCAAGAGTTCTGGAGTGGGTTGCATTTCCTTCTCCAGGGGATCTTCCCAACCCAGGGATCGAACCTGGGTCTCTGGCACTACAGGCAGACACTTTACCGCCTGAGCCACCAGGGAAGCCCTATCATCTTCTAGATTTTTGCTAAACATAGTTGTGGTCATGCAACACTGAGTCACATTTCAAATCTTGATTTCTTTGTTGTAATGTTATGATAAAATATTTGTATGTAATTAAAATTTCCACATTCCCTTTCTGTTTCCCATTCTGGTATTTATGTATTTAATCTGTTCTCTCAGAAACAGATAATTGTAACTGTAGTGTAACTAGACTTTCATAAGCAATTTTTAATTTAAATGTGACATACCTTATTTGTTCCACAGTAGTTGGGCATTTAAGTTATTTCTACTTACGTGCTTATTTGAAACATGATTATGCCAAGCATCTTTGTAGTTAAATCTCAGTGAATATATTGATCTTTTAGGGACAAGTGAGTTAACATAGGTCCTAGATCCAGCTCTATCCCCTTCTCCCTCCCACAAAGCATGACTGTGGAGTGTACAAGCTGAAATCTGATTGCCTTTCAGATGTCTTTCTAGGTGTGTGACATTAAGCACATTGTATAATCATTCTAAGACTCCGTTTTCTCAGCAGTACGATGGGGATAACAGTAGTTTCTGCCTACGAGGCATTCTGTGTGCAACGCTTAACACATGCTCTGCGTGTCATAAGTGCTTTGATAGATGCCATTGTTGCCAATGTTACTGTTGCCTACCTCACAGGAATGTGATAGATACTGAAAGAGAAAGTGTGTAGGTAGTTTGCAGAATATAAAGTGTCCCGCAGCTGTAGGGATATTAGGACTTCAGTGATTTGATCTTACTTGGGAACTAAACCTTGTGCGTGCTTAGCGCAGGTGATAAGAATTGAGTCTGTGAGCTGGGCCAGGTTGTATGAGGCAGACAAAACCTTTGTGTGCTGCTGCCTTGGGGTGCGGCCCCTGCTCTCAGCCCGCCTTTGGGGCGGGGGCGGGGGGGTGGGCAGTGATGCAGCACGCCGATGTCTTGCAGAGCTCTGGCTGGAGTGGCTGCACGATGAGATCAGCATGGCCATGGACGGCCTGGACCGGGAGCACGTGTATGACCTCTTCGAGAGAGCGGTGAAGGATTATATCTGTGAGTTCCCTGCGGGCTGGCCCAGGCGTGTCTGGCAGGCTCCCCTCGCGTCCCTCTCGGCTGCTGGGATCACACTGTGAGGTGCTGCCCCCAGAAGTGTCCTTTGACCAGCAGTGGGAAAGATGGGAGTGCAGTTATTATTATCATTGTCTGGTTTTCAGTTGAGGTTTTTGGTTTCACAATACACGTGGAAGAAACAGTTGAAGGGAGGAGGTGAATATACTTGCCCCCAGCATTTATCTCCTGGGAGAACTTAGCTGATATTTCCAGGTGACTAAAGGTTACCTTTTACATATTGAATGGCATTTTAGAAGCTTTGGACAGGATGCTTGTTTTCTCCCAATACTAAAAAACTTTAAAATTTTGAAATTATTACGGATTTATAGGAGTTTGCGAAGATGGTACAGAGAGGTCCTGTGTACTTTCTTGACCCAGTTTCCCCCACTGTCTTAGGACTGGAGTATGTGCGCGCTCAGTCACTTCAGTCGTGTCCGACTCTGCGACTCTGTGACTGTAGCCCACCAGGCTCCTCTGTCCATGGGGTTCTCCAGTCAAGAATACTAGAGTGGGTTGTTATGCCCTCCTCCAGGGGATCTTCCCAACCCGGGTATTGAACCTGTGTCTCCTGCACTGTAGGCAGATTCTTTTCCACTGAGCCACCAGGGAAGCCCCATGACTGTAGTGCAAACGACAGGAAATGGACCTTGGTACATACAACGTGTGCGAATAGTTTTGTGATATTTTATTTCACCACTGCCTCGAGCTACAGAATCTTCCATCACCATGGAGATCTGCCTCGTCTGCTGGTCTTAACAGTGAAAGTGAAGTGTGAACGCTTTATCTCTCTTTAAATCCAGTTTGATGGTATAAATCTCTAAAATATTTTCTCTGCAGAACTGAGGACTGTATCAGACGGTGCTGTGGACAAAATGTTTTTTAAAAAATATTTAAAGAAACTCCCCATTGTTAATTAAACACCCCTTTTCGCTGTCTGACTGTCCTCACTCCCGCTGTGGGCATTTCCCCTTGTGAGAAGTGTAGGCCCTGGTGGACCTGGCCGACCCTCACTGAGGGAGGGCGCTGCCTCAGAGAGCCAGCTCGCTCCATTCTGTGTTTGCAGCCCATGTAGCAGCTCTGCACTGGTGTGTGAGAACAGGGCAGCTGACAAACCAGCTAAGTGCTTTGAAATAGATCTATTTCATTGAAAAAGCAAGCCTTAGGAAAACATGCAGGGATTCTCACGCTAGCTTGATCTTTTTAGAATTTTTATTTTCAAAGATTAGTGTATAAGCATCAAATTATTTTCAGATCTCTGAAAAGTGACTTAATAGGCAAAATGTGTTTGGTAAAAAGCAATGCATTTATCAAGAGTTTTAATTCATTAGTTTTAAAGCTGTAGGAGTGAGCATATAGAAAGTTTATTAAAGAGTGAAAGAAACAAGACAGCCAGGTCTCTTTGTTGTGTTTTAGAGATTTAAAATCTTTGATAACAGAATTGGTACTTTTAATTTTGTTTTGTTTTCATTTCAATCATAAGGCTTAAAAATGAATCAAGATTAAAAAAAAAAGAATCAAGATTTAAAAGTTGGAACAGTCTAGACTTTGCAGTCTTTCTGAAATTCACTCAGATTTCTAACTGTTTTCATTGAAATCTGTTAAGGGTTCCTTCAATTTTGATAAATCAGCCTTATAACCCGTCATAAGATTACAAATTACCACCTGGCATGTACTGTTTACATAGTCAGGTCTCACTGATGATACTTTGTAGGAATGTTCTCAGGCTGCAGTGTTGATAAAGGAAACCTGGGATGCCTGTCAGTGATGCTATTCTCTTTCTTCATGAATGAGCACATTTTCATTGGGCTCATTTCTTCTGTTTGTGTCAGAACAAAAGTTTTGACATTTGAGCATGTCCTATCCTGAATACATTTCTCATATTTAGGTCCTAACATTTGGCTAGAGTACGGCCAGTACTCAGTCGGCGGGATTGGTCAGAAAGGCGGCCTCGAGAAAGTCCGCTCTGTGTTTGAAAGGGCCCTCTCGTCCGTCGGGTTACACATGACCAAGGGACTTGCCATCTGGGAGGCCTACCGCGAGTTTGAAAGCGCCATCGTGGAAGCTGCCCGGGTGAGTGCCCATGCTTGCCTCCATCAGCCGCTTACCAGTCCTCGCTAGTGGTCTTGGAAGAACGCAGTTAACAAAGCGGTCTTTGCCCATCCCTTAGTGGGTGGGCAGTAAGGTAAATAAAATCATGTGTCTGTGGAATAGTAGGAGTGTCTTCCTTGACTAAAAAGCAGATGACCCTACAAGCTTTTTGTAGTGTTTAAAAATACTCCTGTTTTAGTTATGATTCCAGGTGAATATACAAGGATAACCAAGTCACCCCCCCCAAATTATGTATTAATATGATATACAAATTATATTAGTATAATATATAAATATAGATTATGTTAATATACACATATGTTATTTACTAATGTAATATAAAATATAATTTATGTTAACAAAATATAAATATGTTAATATAAATATAAATTATATAATTTTGAAGGGGTGACTTGGTTATCCTTGTACACTGTATATATAGAGCGTGTCCCATAGTAATATGAGAGATTTGACCTCATCATGATTGCATTTTTTTAGACTAGACTCTGATTTATAGAATTTTAGAGTCCACTTCCCAGTGTCTCTCCCACTACGTGTGTGACCACACTGTTGGTACGCAGTGGAGCCCTGTATTACTTAGATCATCTTGATTACAAGAGCCCAGCCCCTTCTGGACTGAGTCCCTGTTGAAGAGCGTGTGGTGGTGCCTGCCCCCCGCTCTCACTGAGGCCCGGGGCAGAGCCTCTGGCTGACACGTGTCAGCCGTGACCCCATGTGGACTCTGGTCCCACGCTGTCCTCAGTACTCCTGCAGTTTCTGCCTCTGTGCTTTGATTCATGCTCTGCATTCATCTGGGAGTCTGTTTCTGTCTCGTTAGTTACAGAGAGCCTGCAGACGTGTCCCTAGTGCCAGCTCCTCCAGGAGTCTTTCCTGACTTCCTCCCTTGATAGCTGCAGACAGCCCTAAAAACCAGCCTGAAGCAAGCCACGAGCCTTTGATACTTGAGATGCCTCTGTCCTATCTCATGATAGTCATTGGGGTCCATTTCTTAGATTCCTTCTTGCTCTCCCCATCACCGTCACTTGGTAGAGATAACATTGACATTTGAGCTTCTTACAACGTTTGTCATAACACTTCATGTATAAGGGGGCCTATGAATTTTTTTTAGTGTGAGCTAAAAATGTGCTGAAATAGTTTTTGAAGTAGGCAGAACCAAAGTTTGTCATTTACTACGGGTTTGCTTCTTTAGCCCATGGCTGGCTTCCTTTCCCCTTCTGACTGGGAACAAACCTTTGATTCACAGCTGGAGAAGGTCCACAGTCTCTTCCGGCGGCAGCTGTCGATCCCACTCTACGGTAAGAGAGGCTGCCCCATCAGCAGTCAGCGCTTTGGGGTGTGTCACGCGATTAGGCCTTTCCCGGCATCTCATGAGGCAGACGCGGCTGGCGTTTGTTTTCTCACTGGACAGTGTCACTGTTGACAAGGCCCTGGGTAAAAATGTATCTTGGATTGTTAATGCTCAGGAGAGTTGTGAGGGTCAGAGGCGGGACTCCCAGTTTCCTATGTTAAGACATGGTGCAGGGGTGGGCAGAGACAGGGTCTCTGAAAGGACTAGGGAAACTGACCACCTGTGTTTTCTGGGGGAACTTCATTGAATAAGAGTTCTGTCATAAGCTATTTCTCTTCAGAAGAAACCTCTATTACAGGGTGGATATTTTATGTGGACTTCTGTGGAGGTATTTGGTTCATGAACAGTTGGTTGGAGTAACTGTCTGAATTTTTGGGGGGTTGGGAAAGATTCTTTTTCGCGTGAACATACTTTGGCAAGCCAAACCTCTTTTTTGAATGCAAGAAGCACTAGAAGGACTTTCCCAAGCGTGGGAGGAGTTCAAGGCCACCGTCTTGTGTGTTCCCTGGATGCGGTTATGCACCCCACACCCTTGGAACCTCCGGGCGACTTTACTTGAACCCTTTACTTTACTTGAATGACTTTACTTGTCTTTTTACTTCCTGGTTTATTTGGGTTTGATTGGACAAATTATAAAGTGGCTCTCCAGGTGAGCCCTTGGGTGACAAGCAGAAAAGGCCAGAGTGGGGCTGGCTTGTACATTTCACCTCACATACCAGTGTGAGATAGTGCAGCGTGGTGAGTGAGCATGAACTTGAGCCAGAAGACTGCCTGGGTTCAAAGCCTCACTCTGCCATTGACTGTGGCCAGGTGATGTTACCTCCTGCTTGTGTTTCCTCAACTGCAACATGGGAATTACGGTAGACCCTCCCTTGCAGAATTGTGAGGATTGAATGAAGTAATGGATGTGAAGTATTAGAACATAGGAAGCAGTAGGTAAGTGTGGTTATAGCCTTGCTGTTAGTTTCATTTACTCTGATGGATGGATTAGCTGGTAGGGCTGCCCAGGATGGTGCTTCAAGACAGAGTCTGGGGCCAATTCAGGGCTCAGCAGAAGAGCCCATGGCCACAGATGCGGGAGGGGCCCGGCGCACCTGTCTCAGAGTTTACTCTGTGTTTGAGTTGATAAAACCCAACGGCCAGGCCCACAGGGCTGACTCCATCTCTCAATAGACATGGAAGCAACGTTTGCAGAGTATGAGGAATGGTCCGAAGACCCCATTCCAGAGTCGGTAATTCAGAGCTACAGCAAAGCACTGCAGCAGCTGGAGAAATACAAACCCTATGAGGAAGCCCTGGTGAGTGTTGGCCCCTTTTACTCAAATGTCTCTCTCCCATCTTTTCCCTAAGTCGGCAGTTGCAAGTAGAATAGTATCTTTGTTTATCATGAAGTGTGTAGAGTGGATAAATGTGTACATTCAGTTTACATCCTGATGATAAAGTGAACACCCATGTGCCCACCACCCAGGTTAAGAAATAGCACGTTGCCAGTCCCTTAGAAGTCTCCTCTGTGCCCCTCTCCCGAGAGGCAATCACTTTCCTGACTTTTGTGATCATCCCTTGCTTTTCTTTACAGTTTTACACCCTATGAACGTATCCTTAATGTATTGTTTTAGTTTTGCTTGTTTTTGAGCTTTCATACAATGGAATCAGGCTGTATATTTCCTTTCGTTCAAAATGTCTTTGAGTTTTACTCATGTTGATTAGTTACAGTCCATTCGTGTTCACTACTGTAAAGTTGTCTGTGTGTAAACTGTCCCGTTCATAGATAGTTGGGTTGTATCCGGTGTTTTGCTAGGAGGAGGAGAATTGTTCTGATGATTCTCAGACATACCTCTTGGTACACGTGAAAAAGCGTTTCTTTAGGCACATATGTAGGAATGGCTGAGGTACATGTATATCACAGTGGAAGGAAGTGCTGGGTCCTGAGGCGGAGCTGAACTGTTTCCAGGCCGTCAGTCGCTGCTTCTGCCGGCAGTATCTTACATTCTCATTGCCCTGCCAGCTGGGATATTGACATACTTACATTTTAGCCAGTCTCATGGATTTGAAAGTACAGTTTTAATTTGCATTTCCCTTTCATTACTAATGAAGTTGTGTGTCTTTTCACACCTCAGATTTTTCTTTTTTTAAAAAAAATCTTGCAGTAGCTGTTAGGATCTTTGACTCGTTTTTCTTTTGGTTTGTCAGGTTTTTCTCACTGGTGTCCTGGGTCTCAATTCATGCTTTGGTTGCACGTGTTGCAGTTTCTCCCTCCCAAGTCGGTGGCTTGTCGTTGCCATTTTTTTCCCAGTGGCATGTTTTGAGGACTAGTTCTTTTTTCCCCAGTAATTTTCCTTATTTTTGGCTGTGCTGGGTCTTCGTTGCTGCGTGGGCTTTTCTCTGGTTAAAGGGAGTGGGGCCGCCCTCCCGCTGTGGCTTGGTGGCTTCTGGTCACGGAGCGCGGGCTCTCGGGCACGTGGGCCTGGTGGTTGTGGCTCCGGGGCTCTAGACCGCGAGCTCCATGGTGCCGCACAGGCTCAGTTGCTCTTGGGTCTGTGGGATCTTCCTGGACCAGGGATCCAGCCCACATCTCCTGCATTGGCAGGCGGATTCTTCACCACTGAGCCACCAGGGAAACCCAATGAGCGGTTCTTAATTTTAATGTGATTGGATTTATCATTCTTTCCCTAGGATTTGTGCTTAAGAATTCTCTCTGTACTCTGGGGTCAGTAATCAATCGACTTGGCTTGTTTTTCTTCTGAAAATTTATAATTTTGTTGTTTGTTTTTCAGCTTTCATCTGGAATGGATCTTTGGGCTGGTCTGAGGTGGGGGCTAACTTTGTTTTTCATGTAGAGAAACAGTTGCTCAGTGCTGACTTTGATAATTCTCCCCGCCCCTCACTCATGTTTTGCCCCATGCCTGTCAGGGATTAACTGTCCATTTCTGTGTGGGTCTATTTCTGGGCTCTCTGTTCCACCCCACTGGTTTATGTTACACTGTTGTAATGATGTGATGGTTTTATAATTAAGTTTTGATCTTCGGTAGCATGAGTCCCATTCATGCTGTTCCTCTTCAAGAGGGCCTTGGCTTTCTTTAGCTGTTAATGCTTCTGTTAAGAATGAGGATCAGTTTTTCAAGTTCTACTTAATATTATTGTCACTATTTTTTTTTATATTTGTCCACACTATGTGGCGTGTAGGATCTTAGTTCCCTGACCAGGGATGGAACTCGGACCCTTGGCAGTGAGGGCGTCGAGTCCTAACCATTGGAGTGCCAGGGGATTCCTTTGAATTTTTGATGGGATTGCCTTGAATCTGTAGATCAGTTTGGGGCAGAATTTGCATCTTTTAAATATTGAATCTTCCAATCTATGAATATGGTATGTTGTTGTTTAGTCAGTCAGTCGTGTCTGACTCTTTGTGACCTCATGGACTGCAGCATGTTAGGCTTCCCTGTCCTTCACTATCCCCTGGGGTTTGCATAGACTTATGTCCATTGAGTTGATGGTGCCATCCAACCATCTCATCCTCTGTTGCCTGCTTCTCCTCCTGCCTTCAATCTTTCCCAGCATCAGGATTGTTTCCAATGAGTCGGTTCTTCGCATCAGGTGGCCAGAGTATTGGAGCTTCAGCATCAGTCCTTCCATTGAATATTCAAGGTTGATTTCTTTTAGGATAGACTGGTTTGATCTCCTTGCTGTCCAAGGGTTCTCCAGCACCACAGTTTGAAAGCGTCAATTCTTTGGTGCTCAGCCTTCTTTCTGGTAAAACTCTCACATATGTGTATAGCTACTGGAAAAACCATAGCTTTGACTATAAGGACCTTTGTCAGCAAAGTGATATCTCTGCTTTTTAGTATGCTGTCTAGGTTTGTCGTAGCTTTTCTTTCAAGGAGCAAATTTCATGGCTGTAGTCACAATTTGCAGTGATTTTGGTGCCCAAGAAAATAAAGTCTGTCACTGTTTCCATTGTTTCTCCATCTGTTTGCCATGAAGTGATGGGACTGGATGCCATGATCTTAGTTTTTTGAATGTTGAGTTTTAAGCCAGCTTTTTCACTGTCCTTTTCACCTTTGTTAAGGCTCTTAGCTTTCTGCCATTAGGGTGGTGTTATCTGCATATCTGAGGTAACTGATATTTCTCCCGGCAGTCTTGACTCCAGCTTGAGATTTCTCCAGTCCAGCATTCTGCATGATGTACTCTGCATATACGTTAAATAAACAAGGTGACAATATACAACCTTGACGTACTCCTTTCCCAATTTTGAACCAGTTCGTTGTTATATGTCTGGTTCTGACTGTTGCATCTTGACCTGCATCCAGGTTTCTCAGGAGGCAGGTAAGGTGGTCTGATATTCCCATCTCTTGAAGAATTTTCCACAGTTTGTTGTGGTTCACACAGTCAAAGGCTTTAGCATAGTCATTGAAACAGAAGTAGATGTTTTTCTGGAATTCCCTTGTTTTTTCTATGATAACAGCAGATGTTGGCAATTTGATCTCTGGCTCCTCTGCCTTTTCTAAGTCCAGCTTGAACATCTGGGAGTTCACGGTTCACGTTCTACTGAAGCCTCGCTTGAAGGATTTTTAGCATTACCTTGCTAGCATGTGAAATGAGTGCAGTTGTGTGGTAGTTTGAACATTCTTTGGCACTGCTCTTACTTTGGGATTGAAATGAAAACTGACCTTTTCCAATCCCGTGGCCACTGCTGAGCTTTCCAGATTTGTTGGGCATATTGAGTGCAGCACTTAACAGCATCATCTTTTAGGAGTTTAAGTAGCTCAGCTGGAATTCCATCACTTCCACTAGGTTTGTTTGTAGTAATACTTCTAAGGCCTACTTAACTTCACACGCTAGGATGTCTGGCTCTAGGTGAGTGATCATACCATTGTGGTTATCTGGGACATTAAGACCTTGTACAGTTCTTGCCACCTCTTCTTAATATCATCTGTTTCTGTCCGGTCCATAGAGTTTTTTATTGTGCCCGTCTTTGCATGAAATGTTCCTTTGGTATCTGATTTTCTTGACGAGATCTCTAGTCTTTTCCTTCTTTTGTTTTCCTCTCTCTCTTTGCATTGTTCACTCAGGAAGGCTTTCTTCTCTCCTTGCTGTTCTTTGGAACTCTGCATTCAGATGGATTTATCTTTCCTTTTCCCCTTTGCCTTTTGCTTCTCTTCTTTTTTCTGCTATTTGTAAGACCTCTTCAGAGAACCCCTTTGCCTTTCTTCTCCTTGGGGATGGTTTTGATCACTGCCTCCTGTACAATTTTATGAACCTCTGTCCATAGTTCTTCAGGCACTCTGTCTATCACATCTGATCCCTTGAACCTATTTGTCACTTCTTGTGTATAGAGGTTTGATTTACGTTATACCTGAACGGGCTAGTGGTTTTTCCTACTTTTCTTCAATTTAAGTCTGAATTTGGCAATAAGGAGCTCATGGTCTGAGCCAGTCACCTCCAGGTCTTGTTTTTGCTGACTGTATGGAGCTTCTCCATCTTTAGCTGCAAAGAATATAATCAATCTGATTTCGGTATTGACCACCTGGTGAATTTCATGTGTAGAATCATCTCTTGTGTTGTTGGAAGAGTGTTTGCTATGACTGGTGCATTCTCTTGCAAAACTCTGTTAACCTTTGCCTTGCTTCATTTTGTACTTCACGGCCAAACTTGCCTTTTACTCCAGGTGTCTCTTGACTTCTTGCATCCCAGTCCCCTGTGATGAAAAGGGCATCTTTTTTTGGTGTTAGTTCATGACAATGTATAGGCCTCTGCTGTTTAGGTCTTATCTTTCTGTGAGGTCTTATAAATTTATCCAGTGCCTTGAACACATTTTTAGATGTATTTCTAAATGTTTTTGATACTGTTGTAAGCAATATCTTTTTAAAGATTTTCTGTTCTAGTTGTCTGTTCCTGGTACATAAAATGAAATTTTTTAGTGATATTTTAATCAAACTTGTTCAATCCTTATTAATACTGGTAATGTACAGATTTGGGGGAATTTTCTGTGTTGACAATAATACACACACAGTATTATTTATAAATGGCCTTTATTCCTTTTTCTTGGTCTTAGAATATTTTTGATTTCATTTACCACTCCTCAGACTTACGCTTTTGTTTTCTTGTGTCTTGTCTTTTAGTTGACCCACAAGTCACTGTTAATGCTGCGTTTTGCAGCACCTGTGTGGTTATGTTTACTGCATACATTTCCCACTTTCTTTGCTTCCTCTTATCACATCCTGGGTCTTTCACTTGGAGTCACTTTTCCTTTGCTTCAAGTCCACCCTTTAGTGTCATGTGCTTGGATATTTGCTTGTAACACATTTTCTGTTTTTATTTAGGAGGTCTTTGTTCTCCTTGAGAGTTCTTAGGATATAGAATTCTAGGCTGACAGTTCTGTTCTCTGAGCAGTTAAATACATCTTTCTGGCTTCTGTTGTGCTGCTGAGAAGTCAACTGTCTTAACTCTTGCTACTTGAAAGGAAATTCTCATTTGTTCTCTGGCCAGTTTAAGATGTCATTGTCTTTTGTTTGTTTTTGTTCTGTTTCTTTTTTGGCTGCACATGTAGGATTCTGGTTCCCTGACCAGGGATCAAACCCTCTTTCCCCGCATTTGAAGAGCAGTGTCCTAACCGCTGAACTACCAGTCAAGTCCCAAGATGTCATTGGTTTGGTTTGATGTCTGGCAGTTTGGTTACAGTAGGGCCAGGTGTGTGGATTTCTTTGTATTTACCCTGCCTGTGGTTTGTTGGATTTCTTGGCTCTGTTTTTGGTATCTTTAATGGGCTGGTGAGTGAGAACACAGCTTTTAGCTCTGGGCTAGGACTTTACTCCTGTGACTTGGTTTCCTCAAATGTCAGATGGGATTGAAATGATAACTGCCTCCTGGGATTGTTGTAAAGATCAAATTCTTAGTATTATCTCTTCAACTGGCAAAAGTGTAGCCTTCTCTTAGCTTAACCACCTTCATTTAGATTTTGTTTGTGGTATTTCTTCTTTCCCAGTTGGTTGATTTGCAAGTTTTTTTTTTTCTTCTTCAGTATTTAATCTAGTATTTTCTGCCGTCTTCATTGGCACAGTGTGTCTGGGACTGATTCTGTCGTTATCTAGTAGGAACTGTGCCTCTCCATCATCTTTCTAAGAGCAGAGCATGTGTGCTCTCTTGCTGGCCTGAATGAGCACTCTCTTTTTCACATGTGAATGATTGGTATTTAGTTGTATTTCACAGGGGGCTTCTCTGGTGGCTCAGATAGTAAAGAATCTTTCTGCAATGCGGGAGACCTGGGTTTGATCCCTGGGTCAGGAAGATCCCCAGGAGAAGGGAATGGCAACCCATTTTAGTATTCTTGCCTGGAGAATTCCATGGACAGAGGAGCCTGGTAGGCTATAGTCCATGGAGTTTGCAAAGAGTTGGACCTAAGTGAGCGACTAACACACCACCACTATATTTCACAAAGCCTCATTCATGAAATCCTTGTCCAGTTGTTTTGTTTTGACCATCAGCAGAGAGTGGCTGAGGATTTTGTCTAAAAATGTCTTTGGATCAGTACACATTGATCATATATACACATTGATCATATATAGCCTCTTCTGTCTCCTGCATGTACCTGTACTCTGGCAGGAGCTGATACTTGGAATGACAAACGTGAAATGACAGAGGGCACCAAGTCACTCTGGTGTGGTTGCATTCACCCCACTCCGTAGGCCAAGGAAGTGGTATCTGTTTTGGAAGATGGCTCGCACTGGTCATTGGCCAGTATCTCTCTTTGATGCAGTTCCTGGTTGATGGGTGGTTTCAATTCTCTGTGATCTAGGAATGGATTTAGAAAAGGAATTATGGAGCCTCTGTAACTCTCGCCATGAGGTGGCACTTTGGACTCATTCTGTCCGTCAGACTTGTAGATCCGATGTGCAGAGGCTCTGAGAGTGGGGACTGGTGATCCTTATCTTGCTGTGGCCATTCTCGCCATGGTTTACTAGGGACATGTGTGTGCGCTCCAACGGTGTTGTGTAGCCCATTGCAACTTCACTGCCATTCTCCTTTGCCCCAGCTGCAAGCTGAAGCGCCCAGGCTGGCCGAGTATCAAGCATACATCGATTTTGAGATGAAAATTGGCGACCCGGCCCGCATTCAGTTGATCTTTGAGCGCGCCCTGGTTGAGAACTGCCTTGTTCCAGACTTATGGATCCGTTACAGTCAGTACCTAGTAAGATAACCTACCTATTCTAATCTCACTTTATTTTTACCACTTTAGGTTCTATTTAAAATCAGAAAGAGTGCCAGGAGTTGGCAGTGTGCTGCTCCTCTCTGCTTGATTCACTAAGGAAGTCTTCTCATGTTTTATTTTAAACTGATCACTAACTGTGAAAAAAATTTGGCGTAGTCTTACTATCGAGGACTTTATGACAGATTGATTTTTCTTTTAACATGTTATTATGGAAAAATTAAATACATAAATGTAGAGAGATTAGTAAAATGAAATGACAAGTACCCATCACCCAGCTTCAACACTTAACTAATGGCACTAGTCTAGTTTGATCTATAATCTTAATTAGTTTTATCTGTTTCCTTACCTATTCCCCCCTTCCCTGTTATTCTGAAGCAAATCCAGAGGTCCCATTTTGACGGTAACCGTTTCAGTACACGTGTATACGAGGTTTGAATCAGGATCTCGGCTAAGTCCATACGTTAGGATTGGCTGATGTCTGTTCAAGCTCTTTGATCTGTAGGTTTTCGTCTACCTCTCTCTTCTCCCCTCAAACCCCTGGCGATTTCTTTGTTGAAGACATCAGTCATCTTAAGGAAATTTTTTTTGTTGGTTGGCTTTGCTGAGAATGTCTCTTGAATGGTGACGTCTTAATGAAAATTTCTCTCCTGACCCTGGCATTCTTTATCGTAGGATCGGCAGCTGAAAGTAAAGGATTTGGTTTTGTCTGTACACAGTCGTGCTGTTAGAAACTGCCCGTGGACGGTTGCCCTCTGGAGTCGATACCTCCTGGCCATGGAAAGACATGGAATTGAACACCGAGTGATTTCGGGTGCGGATTGTTTTTGTGGGAAGATGTCTAAGCTTTTTGTCCCAAGTCAGGAACATTGGGCTGTGACAGAGTCATTAAATCAGCCTTCCCCAGGGGTCATTTTGGAATATTTGGTGTTAGTGACAAAAAGGGCTCTAAGTGAGAGAGAAACTAGTTGTAGTTTTGACCTCTTAAAACCTCTTAGTGCTTTACTAGTCATGATGTCTCTGGAGTCGTGGTCTTTTTCTTCCCCTCAGTTGACCTGGAGCACTTTAATGCAGGGCGCCCTGTGGGACTTGCCCTTTCTAGAAAGAACACAGTTTGTGTACCGCTGTGGTAGCCCTTCTTTTGAATATTTCTCTAGCTCATTTCACTTGGTTGCATCCCATTATTACTGTTAGCCATATAGTGTTTTATAAGAGGTTTTTATAATGATCTTGGTAATTTTATATTAGCTTCTTTTTGAATTGACAACAAATCCTGGCTTTTTCTTCAACTCTAGTGACCTTTGAGAAAGCTCTCAGCGCTGGCTTCATTCAGGCCACCGACTATGTGGAGATCTGGCAGGCATACCTTGATTACCTGAGGAGAAGGGTCGACTTCAAACAAGGTACTAAAGTTCCTGTGTTTTCTATCAGAACTGAACTGTTCCTTAGCGTGTCCTTTGGTGGGATGAGGCAGTGGCCCAAATACCTCACGATGGGGCAAGCGATGTAGACCGGCCACTGGTAGGAATTGTAGCTGTTTCATTCTGTAGTGAGCCATGCCATAGACCCTAGAGGGAGAGAGTAATGGTCCTTACCTTTTGCTCTGGTTCCCGCCAACCTCTTCAGTCTCATTTCTCCCTTCTCTGCCTTCTGTGTGTCCTGAATAGTTCTTTACGTGGGACTGCTGTGTTCCCTCTAAGTTGTTGAACCTCCACCTCCATGGGATCCCCTGCCTTCCTCCCTCCCCAAAAAACAAATAAATAAAGAGCAACCAGAGCACCGCCGTGCTCCTCCCCCCTGCCCCACTGGTGCCGGCTTACGCCTGCAGGTGGATTTTGGCTGTTCTGCTGGCTTGGGGAGCACCCCTCCACTGTGGCCCCACCTGGCCCCCTGGCCCCTTTGTCCTTGGCCTGTCCGTGATGTGCTCTGCCTGGGTCTGCCTCCCCTCCTGTGTGTGATCAGGGCAGGAGCAGGCAGTGTTCTATTCAGCGTCCCCAGCGAGAGCCCCGGGGGTGTCAGTGTGGGATCGCACAGAACTTAGAGGACGTGGTAGGTGGTGTCTGAGAGCTGAACCCGCTCTGCGCTTTCCCGCAGACTCGAGTAAAGAGCTGGAGGAGCTGCGTTCGGCGTTCGCCCGCGCCCTGGAGCACCTGAAGCAGGAGGTGGAGGAGCGTGAGTGTGCCCCCCGGCCCCTGCTTGTGCATCCTCTTCCGGTCCTGGGCCTTTCAGTCAAGGCCGTGTGCCTCTCTGCGATCTCTTTGCTCTTAATATTCATTCATTTGCCTGTGTCAGATCTTAGTTGCAACACGATGTGTTGCTTGACGTGTGGAGTCCACAACAGACTCTAGTTGTGGACCTCAGGCTTAGATGCCCTGAAGCATGTGGGATCTTAGTTCTCCGACCAGGGGTCGAACCCATGTGCCCTGTGTTGCAAGGTGGAGTCATAACCACTGGACCAGCAGGGAAGCCCCTCAGTTACTTTCTAATTTTGTCTACTACTCTTCTTCAAGGTTTCAATGAAAGTGGAGATCCAAGCTGCCTGATCATGCAGAACTGGGCTCGGATTGAGGTAAATGTTTTTTAACAGACCTGTCAGTTTCACCCACCTTTGCGGAACCTTTGTCTGATAGCGTGGCTGAAGCTGAGTCAGGGTCCCAGATGACCCCCTAGGCTCTGTGGGGATCCGCGTTGTTTACCTCACTCGCAGTGTTTCTTGGTATCTGGGGGCATCCGAGCTCTCAGCCACGTTGCGCAGCAGTTGTCTGCATGCCGGGTGCTCACTCGTGTGTTCCTTCTCTGCCGCCCCCGGCCCCAGTGACGAGCGTGTTCTAGGCGTGAGCAGTTTGCCAGGCCTTCCACTGTGGGCTGGGGATGAGATAGACTCTGTCCCTGTGCTAGAAAGACTTGAAACTAATGTGGAAGACAGATGATGTCACAGATGGTTAGTGGATATGATGAGCTGGATATTATTGCTGGATCGTGGACCCTGCCCCTCTGTTCTCTTTTCTGAGGGCAGTCCCCTGTCAGGGTATGGCTGGATGGGATGGTTGTGCTGAAACCATGTTAAGGATGCAGCAGCCGAGGTGCAGAGGCTGAGGGCAGCGCTGGCTCCTGGTGGTCTGTCCCTGCCTTGGCCTTCAGATGACACACTTCGAGTTCAGACTTGATAAAAATAAAACAGATGCCTGTGTAAAGTAATTAGCCTCCAACTAAAAAAAAAAAAAACAAACAGATGCCTGGCCAGCACTGTCCTCAGTGCCTCCGTGCTCGCCCATGTGGCTCTCGAGGTGAACGTGGGCAGGCAGCCTGAGGCTGGACGCTGCAGAAAGGCCGAGGTGCTTGGGTCGGGCTGTTCGCATGGCCCGGGGGGCGCCTGGCAGGGTCTGCGGAGCTGAGTAGCACGGATAGTTCTGGGGTGGGAGGTTTTCAGCACGGTGTCTGAAGTATGTTTTGTCATGGGTGTTGACACCGTCAGGCCTGAGTCCTCTCCTAACTCGATCTGGTCATGCCTTCAGGCTCGACTCTGCAACAACATGCAGAAAGCGCGGGAGCTCTGGGACAGCATCATGACCAGAGGGAACGCCAAGTTCGCCAACATGTGGCTCGAGTATTACAACCTGGAGAGGTAACGGGCCCGGGGTGAGGGGAGGCGCTTGTCAGGTGTGACCGGCCCCAGCGCTGGTGCCCCAGCCGCGCCCGTACAGCTCAGACTGCTGCTCACGGGGCGCTGCTCACTTCATGGTCCTGTCTCTAGTGCCTGGGCTTGTTGGGCGGGGCCCTAGAGAACCACACGTGGTATTCTGTGCCTGGCTGTTACGGCCATGTGTCACTTGCCACTTATTTTGGTTTGTTTTGATTTTGGGACATGAATATTTTATTTGACTTCTTGGGGAGCTGTGTTCTTTTTTTATGTTTGCTTTGTCTATAATAGTTAAAAGTACTGAAAACCAGAGAGGAAAAAACCCCCAATTTTCTGCAGTGACAAACCCATGAAAAACCACGGTTAGCTAATGGTTTGGGTGTGTTCTTTGAGACTTTCCTGTGCTTAGATTTTTAGGAAGTGGTGATGCAATCACAGTATACATATTCTAAGTCTCTAAAATTATTTTAAATGATATTTATAACATGAGGGAAGATATAAAGAATATGATCAGCTTTTTAATTCAGTATATCTTGGATGGTGGTCATGTTCAGTTGCCAAGTGTTCGGTTGTCCCACTCTTCGAGACCCCATGGACTGTAGCATGCTAGGCTTCCCTGTCCATCATAATCTCCTACAGTTTGTCCAAGTTCATGTCTATTGAATCGGTGATGCCATCTAACCATCTCATTCTCTGTTGCCCCCTTCTCCTTCTGCTTTCAGTCTTTACCAGCATCAGGGGCTTTTTCCAGTGAATCACCTGTTTGCACCAGGTACTCAAAGTATTGGAGCTTCAGCTTCAGCATCAGTCCTTCCAAGAAGGATTCAGTGTTGATATCTTTTAGGATTGACTGGTTTGATCTCCTTGCTTTCCAAGGGACTCTGAAGAGTCTTCTCTAGCACCACAGTTAAAAAGCATCAATTTTTTGGTGCTCTGTCTTCTTTATTGTCCAGTTCTCACATCCATATATTATTATGAAGAAACCATAGCCTTGACTATTTTTACTTTTGTCGGCTAAGTGATGTGTTTGCTTTGTAACACAGTCTAGGTTTGTCATACCTTTCCTGCCAAGAAGCAGTTGCTTCTAATTTCATGGCTGTAGTCACCATCTGCAGTGATTTTTTTAGAGCCCAAGAAGGGGAAATCTCTCACTGCTTCCCTTCCGCCCCCCACCCCACCCCCTGTTTGCCATGAAGTGTTGGGACCAGATGCCATGACCTTAGTTTTTTTAATAGTTGAGTTTCAAGCCAACCTTTTCACTCTCCTTCTTCACCCTTATCAAGAGGATCTTTAGTTCTTCCTCTTCGCTTTCAGCCATTAGAATGGTGTCGTCTGCATCTGAGGTTGTTGATATTTCTCCCAGCAATCTTGATTCCAGCTTGTAACTCAGTCCGGCCTGGCATCTCTCATGATGTGCTCTGTGTATAAGTTAGATAAACAGGGTGACAGTAAACTCTCTCGTACTCCTTTCTCAATCCCGAACCAGTCAGTTGTTCCATGAAAGTGAAAGGAAAGTGAAGTCGCTCAGTCGTGTCCGACTCTTTGCGACCCCGTGGACTGTAGCCTACCAGGTTCCTCTGTCCATGGGATTCTCCAGACAAGAATACTGGAGTGGGTTGCCATTTCCTTCTCCAGGGGATCTTCCCGACCCAGGGATCGAACCCGGGTCTCCTGCATTGCAGAGAGATGCTTTACCCTCTGAGCCACCAGGGTTCTAAATTCTAACTGTTTCTTCTTGACCTGTATACAGGTTTCTCAGGAGACAGGTGAGATGGTTTGGTATTCCCTTCTCTTTAAGAGCTTTCCATAGTTTGTTATGATCCACAAGTCAAAGGCTTTAGCATAATTAGTGAAACGGAGGTAGATGTTTTTCTGGAATTCCCTTACTTTCTCTGTGATCTAGTCAGTGTTGACAATTTGATCTCTGGTTCCTCTGCCTTTTCTAAACCTAGCTTGAACATCTGAAAGTTCTCAGTTCACATAATGCTGAAGCCTAGCTTGGAGGATTTTGAGTGTAACCTTACTGGCATGGGAAGTGAGTACAATTGTCTCTATGGTTTGAACATTCTTTAGTACTTTCCCTGTTGGGAATTGGGATGAGGGTTGACCTTTTCCAGTCCTGAGGCCACTGCTGGGTATTCCAAATTTGCTGACATATTGAGTGCAGCTAATAGAGTCATCTCTTAGGATTCTAAATAGCTCTTCTGGAATTCCATCACCTCCTCTAGCTTTATTGACAGCAGTGCTTCCCAAGGCCCACTTTACTTCACACTCCAGAATGTCTGGCTCTGAGTGAGACTGTACCATTGTGGTTATCTGGATCATTAAGACCTTTTTTGTACAGTTCTTCTGTGTATTCTTTCCATCTCTTCTTCATCACTTCTGCTATTAGGTCTTTATTATTTCTGTCCTTTATTGTGCCCATCTTGGTATGAAATGGTCTTTTGATATTTCCAATTTTATTGAAGAGCTCTCTAGTCTTACCCTTTCTATTTTCCTCTTTTTCTTTTTCTTTCAAGAAGACCTTCTTGTCTCTCCTTGCTATTCCCTGAAGTTCTGCATTTAGTTGGGTGTACATTTCCCTTTCTCCCTTGCTTTTCACTTCTCTTCTTTCCTCGGCTACTTGTAAAGTCTCCTCTGACAACCACTTTGCCTTCTTGCATTTCTTTTTCTTTGGGATGGTTTTATTCTCTGCCTCTGTACAGTATTATGGAACTTTGTCCATAGTTCTTCAGGCAGTCTATTTACTAGATCTATTCCTTGAATCTATTCATCACTTCCACTGTATTTTCATTTGTGTTTTATTGTTTAGTTGCTCATTCGTGTCCAACTCTTTGTGACCCCCATGGACTATAGCCCACCAGGCTCCTCTGTCCATGGGGATTCTCCAGGCAAGAATACTAGAGTGGGTTACCATGCCCTTCTCCAGGAGGTCTTTCCAACCCAGGGATCGAACCCAGGTATCTGGCATTGCAGGTGGATTCTTTACCAGCTGAGCTATCAGGGAAGCTCAAGGGATTCATAGGGGATTTGATTTAAGTCATACCTTACTGGCCTAGTGGTTTCCCCGCTTTCTTTAGTTTAAGTCTGAATTTTTCTATGAGGAGCCTGATGATCTGAGTCACAGTCAGCTCTCGGACTTGTCTTTGCTGACTGTGTACAGCTTTTACATCTTTGGCTACAAAGAATGTAATCAGTCTCATTTCAGTATTGACCATTTGGTGATGTCCATGTGTAAAGTCATGTCTTGTGTTGCTGAAAAAGGGTGTTTGCTGTGGCCAATGTGTTTTCTTGGTGGATTTCTGCTAGCCTTTGCCCTGCTTCATTTTGTACTCCAAGGCCAAACTTGCCTATTACTCCAGGTATCTCTTGACTTCTTACTTTTTGCATTCCAATCCCATATGATGAGTAGGTCATCTTTTTTTGGTGTTAGTTCTAGGATATCTTCTAGGTCTTCATAGAACTGATCATCTTCAGCTTCCTCAGCATTGGTGGTTCAGACACAGACTTGGATTGCTGTGATGTTGAATGGTTTGCCTTAGAAACAAACCGAGGTCTGTCATTTTTAAGGTTGTGTCCAAGTATGGCATTTCAGACGCTTTTTGATTGTGAGAGCTACTCCATTTCTTCTGTGTGTTCTTGCCCACAGTAGTAGATACGACGGTCATCCGAGTTAAATTCACTCGTTTCCATCCATTTCAGTTCAAGATGTTGATGTTTACTCTTGCCATCTCCTGCTTGACCACGTCCAATTTACCTTGTGCATGGACCTAACTTTCCAGGTTCCCATGCAGTATTGTTCTTTACAGTATCAGATTTTACTTTCATCCCTGGACACATCCACAACTGGGCGTTGCTTCCACTTTGGTCCAGCCGCTTCATTCTTTCTGGAGCTGTTAGTAGTTGTCCTCTGCTCTTCCCCAGTAGCATGGTGCACACCTTCAGACTTAGGGGGCTCATCTTTCCTTTTATACAGTTCATGGGGTTCTCATGGCAAGTGTACTGGGGTGGTTTGCCATTTCCTCCTCCAGTGCATCACGTTTTGTCAGAACTCTCCACTCTGATCCGTCCGTCTTGGGTGGTCCTACATATTATGGCTTGTAGCTTCATTGAGTTACACAAGCTTTGCCACGAGAAGGCAGGTTATCCATGAAGGGGTATCTTGGGCATTGCGTGTCAATAAACATATTTTTTTTCTGTTTTGAATATTTTGCCCCCCCCCACCTGATTGAAAAAAATAATATGTGCTCAAGTTAAAATAGAACATTTACAGATGTGAGAAAGTCCCTTAAAATTCTTCCCCAGAGGTGACCACAGTTAAAGCTTATTGAATATTCCTCTAGATCAGTGGTTCTCAAATGTTTTGGTCTCAGGACCACCTCAAGAGCTTTTGTTTATGTGAGGTATATTTATTAACATTTACCGAACTAGAAAATGAAACTGAAAAGTTAAAAAAAAAAAAACACTTTTATTCATTTAAAATTTGCTGTGAAGACATTGAACAGAAATAACATATTTTTATAAGAAATGACTGCTTTCCAGACTCCAAAGTAACATAGTAAGAAAGTGGCCTGGTTTTACACTTTATACAAATTTCTCTAATCTGGCTCAGTAGCAGACAGCTGGATTCTCCTATCTGGTTCTGCACCCTCTCTGTCGTGACATTTTCATTGGAGAATATGAGACTGTTATGTTAACATCCAGTGGTCTGTCTTGCACTGAGCAGACCTTTTTACCCACACAGGATTCCATGACATGTGTTGTGTGTGAGGAAAATGCTGACCCATCAAGTACTGTAGCTCTTCTAAATATTGACGCATCTCATTATCCCATTTGTTCATATCTGCACTGATCTTCACAGAAACGTCTTTAAAGTAGGAGGCTGTTAAACTCATAGTGGCAGATACAGGTTTTTCAAGTTCTGATTTTCACTTGAAAGCCCCAGTTTTATCAGTCAACAAAAACTTAAGTGGTTTTCCTGAAAGTGACAGCCTCACTTAATTAATTTTTGAAAATGTCTGCCAAATACACACGTCTGAGTCACTGTAGTTTTTGTCACTCAACTGTTCTCTCAAGTGAAAATGATGTTCCATGAAAAAAAGGGAAGTAGCCCAGCTTGCAGCTAAGACAGTAATCTGTTATTCCTTTGCTCCAACCACTGTACTTGGGTATGAAGAGGTGCCTAATGTGTGCATTCCATTTGTCACCCAGAATATTATCAAGATGTGCACTGTCTTGATTTGTGCCAAGGGCCACTGTAGCTTTGGCATCCTCAGTCCAAATGTCAGCACAGTGAAAAAGTCCAATAAGTATGTCGGTATATAAATGAAAGTAGTTTTGACTTTGAAGACCTCCTGAAAGGGTCTTGGAGACCCTTAGGCGTCCATGGATCATGCTTTGAGAACCGTTGCCCTAAATTTTTTCTTAGTGTCCTAATGTGTATTTGCAATGTTTATAAAAACTTTTTAAACAGAAAGGAGAACATAGTGTCTTATAACTGCTGGGATGAACAGAATGCTGTTTTGTAAGTGTTGTGTTGAGCAGTATCTCATTTCATGTCAGTGGGAAGATTTTTGTGAGCCTGGGCACAAAGCCTGGCAGTCGCTGTGTTGGCTTTCCCCTCGGGGGGGATGGCATCCTAGAATCTCTGGGGACTTTACCCTGTCACCCCAGCTCTTGGGTCCTTCCACACTCCTTGCACACGCAAAGGCAGAAGGCCTGGGTGTGGACCGCTGTCCCAGGTGCCTCTGCCACGAGCACTGACTTGCTGAGGGGAAGAGTGGTTTAGAAGAAAGCCTCGGGCTTCCCTGGTAGCTCAGACGGTGAAGCGTCTGCCTACCATGCTGGAGACCCAGGTTCAATCCCTGGGTCGGGAAGATCCCCTGGAGAAGGAAATGGCAACCCACTCCAGTACTCTTGACTGGAGCCTGGTAGGCTACAGTCCACAGGGTCGCAAAGAGTCAGACACGACTGAGAGACTTCACTTCACTTTACCATCTGAGCCACCAGGGAAGCCTGATCATTACAAGAATCCGTTAAAAGAAACAGGACATCGAAAGCCTTCAGTTTCGTTTGACTCGGGAGCTTCCTGGGACAAGGAGGAAGCATTAGAACTATTGGCACAAAGAGTGTGGTGTCTCCTTGGAGCTGAAGCTGACACTGGCTTTGCTGCCGTGGCGTTGGCTGTGTGAGGGTGCCCCCGCCGGGTCTTCTGCTGGGTCCCTGTGGCTCCAACTGTGTGTTTTCCGCCCCAGGGCCCACGGCGACACGCAGCACTGCAGGAAGGCTCTGCACCGGGCTGTCCAGTGCACCAGCGACTACCCGGAGCACGTCTGCGAGGTGTTGCTCACCATGGAGAGGACAGAAGGTGGGGACTTGGCGCGGCCTCGGGCTTGGGGCTTGTCCCTAGACCAGTGTGGTCGCAGGGCTGTAGGCGCAAGGACACGTGTGTTTGCGGCTCCACCCCTCTAGGGGCCTCTGCGATGAGACCATCACGCAGTGCTCGGCAGTGAGAGGGGAATCCCGCCGCCCTTAGGCTCCAGGAGCAAAGGGACCCATGACGAGGCTTTAGCACAGGCCTCCCGGGGACGGGGAGATGCTGTCACGTGCAGCTTCCCTGGACCCTCTCTTCCTGCTGGGCACCAGCAGTGCTCTTCCCACCCCCGGTCCTGACCAGCAGGACCGCCTCTGGATGTTGCCAAGGGCTCCCTTGGGTCAGCAGAGCCTGTGTTCCAGCACAGCGCGGTGGGACCCATGGCGAGACTGCTCTCTGATCGCGTGTGCCTCTGGTGAATTTCAGAGCCTCCATATACAGTTTCCATGGGCGTTAGTCTGGATTTGGGGTACTGAGTCACTTAGAACTGGAAATAGACACCTAAACAGCAGCAGCAATAAGGAAAACACCTCAACATTTATCATCCGAGGAGCTCTTAAAATCTTTTGATCTTAGTACAAATGTTTTGTACCTTTTGCATTAGAATGTTTTCAATAATCTTTGCCATGGAGAGCTCGTAATAGAACCTAGTCTGGTTTTCAAGTCTTTTCTAAAAGAGAAGGGGTGATCTAAATACACCTGTAAGAAGTATTTGAGTTCTGAAACATGAAACCTACACAAATGAATCTTAAAATGGAAAACCGATTCTCCAGTTGTTTCTGTTTGATGGAAGAGATCTCTTCTGGAGGTGTGGGGAAATTAAGACAATTTTATATTTTTATATCCTTCAAAATCCAGAGAAGTGAAAGTCCGCTTCTCCTTCCTCTCAAGGTACTCTAGAAGACTGGGACATAGCTGTTCAGAAAACTGAAACTCGACTAGCTCGAGTTAATGAGCAGAGAATTAAGGTAATGATACTCTTGTTTCAAGTCTTTGAACCTCTGAAAGCTTTTTTTTTAAAATTTTCTTATTGGAGTATAGTGGATTTAACAGTTCTGATAGTGATTTTGACTGTGTTTGGTATTTAAAACCTTTGGGGTCATCCTAAGAAGTGTATTTTACTCAATGTGTTAACTCAATGTGTTAACTATTCAAACTATGTTTGAATCAGTGTTTAAGACTATCTTTTTTTTTTAGATTGGCTTAAAATGTTAGCCCCAACAGTAAATACTTTAGGTAGTGGAGTACTTAAAGGTTATTGAAATAGACGAAGAAGATGAAAAAGGAGCCTGACTGATGTAGCCTAGTGGTTGGAGCATGAGCACCCCCAGATGACTCGGGGCCCGTTTTATAGATGTTTTTCTTTTTACTGGTGGGTCATGCCTGGGGATCGTGTGAGACATACCATAGACTTGAGCTGTAGCTCCTTAAGGGCCTGAGAAGGTGGGACTCAGCCCCCCACCCTGCCTGGTCTCCTGGGGGTGGCTGTCCTGCGGGTGCGCTCACCTCTCCCTTCACAAGTCAGTGGACTTTGTGTAACGGCCACATCCAATGACGCGTCGTATCCCGACCTTCCAGGCTGCGGAGAAGGAAGCAGCCCTGGCCCAGCAAGAGGAAGAAAAGGCTGAGCAACGGAAGAGGGCCCGGGCCGAGAAGAAAGCGTTGAAGAAGAAGAAAAAGACCAGAGGGGCGGACAAGCACAGAGCCGACGAGGACGATGAAAAGGAATGGGGTGATGATGAGGAAGGTAATGCCTGGCAGGACTTCCATACTGAAACATCCTAAACCTCCAGACAGGGTACTGAACACAGAGAACTTTGTTCGGGAACCGTTTGAGAATAAGGTCCTGGCAAGGCTCCCTTGGTGGCTCAGACCATAAAGAAGTCCCCTGTCAGTGTGGAAGGCGCAGGTTTGGTCCCTGGGTTGGGAAGATGCCCTGGAGAAGGAAATTGCAACCTCCTCTAGTGTCTTGCCTGGAGAAACAGAGGAGCCTGGCGGACTGCAGTCCCTGGGGTTGCAGGGAGTGGGACACGGCAGAGCGCGCAGCACAGAGGAAGTGCCACCGCCTTCCCGGTCGCCGCCTCACCACGTGGTGCTGCCCGGCTCCCCCGCTTGGCTCCCAGGCCTGCGCCAGGTGCTGCCCCTGCCGGCACCCACCTGGGCTCCGTCCCCTTCCTGAGTGGTGCCTGCCTTCTTCCCTGCCCTCTGCACCAAGGGCGGGCTTTTCTGTACCCTCAGGCCCTGGCGCCCGGCTGACCCCTGCCCTGCGCCTGTACCCCTCCTTCCCCTTACCTGACTCCCACCAGGCAGTTTGACTTGTAGAATTTTCCACCCTGTGTTTCTGTCACCCCTGCCATTTCATGTGTGGGCAGGTGTGGGTGAGATTTATTTCAGCAAAGTCGGTCAAGGTAAAGAGTGGTCTCTAGACGCTAAAGGAGGCTCACCGTTTTCCTAGTGCAGAACTTTCAGCTGGAGTAAAAAGTGATGAGTCGTTATTCGTTTCTTGGGGCCTTCAGACATGATTGTGGGTAGCTCACTGCCCTTTAGGGCTCTGGTGTTGCAGGGGAAGGCACAGAGGACCTGTGACCGCAGTGGTGTGTCCCGGGGACTCGGGCAGCTGTGGGTGAGAGTCGTGGTGGAGGCCGGGAAGGTACCAGGGGTTAGCCAAAGGGTTGCAGGAAGGGGTGAGGTGACTTCCTGTGGGGCGGTGTGCTGCACCTTGGCATCGGGGGAGGGCGAGTGAGTGTCCAGTGAGGGAGGGCAGAGGCCGGCAGAGCGCAGTCTGGCCTGTTCTCTGCAGCCTCGGACCCTGATCCTGCTAGGGGGCTGGGTGCTGGGGTCCGTGAGACAGGCCAGCCCGCCCATCAGCGCTCTGGAACGCAGAGTGCCGCAGGCAGACCCTATCTGGAGGGCAGTGGGGAACTGACAGAAAGGTCTGGAAGCAGGCGGCCCACACTGGTTGGTTCAGTCCTGTCCCCCTGGAGGCAGTGGGGAGCGCGGGTTGGAGTAGTGTGTTGTTGTTAAGCTCTGTGGAACGACATGGGACAGTCATGAATGTGGGGAGAAGCTCGCGCTCTGTACCACTTCCAGGGTGGCCCGGGGAGTATGCACTTCCGGGTCACTGAGGTGCTTGTTTACATGTGGCCCCTGGGCTCCATCCCCCTTTCTGCCCTGGGCTTTCCAGGAGGGGTCCTAGGGATTTGCCAGGACAGTATAGAGACCCCCGGCCTCGACATCTTGTATGGGTGAGTGTGGACGGTGAGCATTTAGGGTGTCAGTTGCACCTGAGTTGTCTCCTCTCCCGGATGTCACTGGGCCTGGCAAGGAATGGGATGTGCTGGGAGGGTCGGGAGAGACTTGGCAGAGGGTGGGGGGCATGCACCCCGGCATCCACAGGGGTCCCGGCTTCTGGTGGGGAGAGCTGTCTCCCTGCTGGGCACGCCCCGGCTCAGCTCAGCGCCAGGAGACTGTTACCTAATCGTCCTTTCCCTTGACAACCTGCAGAGCAGCCCTCCAAGCGCAGGAGGGTGGAGAATAGCGTTCTTCCTGCCGGGGAAGCGGAGCCCGGCTCCGAAGCTGATCTTTCTGGGAGCATCGCCGCCGCGGCTGCGGAGCCCCCCTTGGAGCCGAAGGAGATGCGGGTGGGCGCCCGGCGGAGGGACGTGCCCAAGGTGCCTCACGACAGCAGCAAGGACGGCGTCACCGTCTTTGTCAGCAACCTGCCCTACAGGCTGGGGGAGCCAGCTGCCACGCTCCGGCCGCTCTTCGAGGCCTGCGGGGACGTGGTCGAGGTGCGCCCCATCTTCAGTAACCGCGGCGACTTCCGCGGCTACTGCTACGTAGAGTTCAGAGAGGAGGCGGCGGCCCTGCAGGCACTCCAGCTGGACCGCCAGAGCGTTGAGGGCCGGCCCATGTTCGTCTCCCCCTGTGTGGACAAGAGCAAAAACCCTGACTTCAAGGTTGGTTTGGGGGGTGCGCCCGCCTTTCCGTAGGGTTGCGGTGGGACAGACTAAATGCTCTTTCCTGCCGCGTCTTGTATTTAGAATCTAAGTGGAATGTTTGTTAAGAGTGAAGTGGCTGAGTTAAATGGGTACATTCTGAGCTGGTTCGCTGAGGTCTCTGCACCAGGCTGGGTCACTGAGCTGCTGGTGTTGACAGCTGTTGGTAACAGTAGGCACGTGTAGCAGCTCCTTGCCGTGGGATGGTCAGGAGTGACGGGGCCGCACCCAGCGTCTGGTGTGTGTGACCTTCCGACCCTCACCCAGACTCGGAGAATGGCGGCCTTCATTCTGGCCGTTTTCCAGAGGAGGAAGTGAAGGCTTCAAGAAGTGAGGGACTTGCCCAGGGCGAGTGAGCAGTTCTTCGCACCCAGAGCCGGCTCTGGCCCGGCCTGTGGATGAGGCCTGACCCTGCGGTGTGGGGAGCTGGGCTGGGCCCAGGGTGTGAGTCCTCTCCCTCCTCTGCAGGTGTTCAGGTACAGCACTGCCCTGGAGAAACACAAGCTGTTCGTGTCGGGCCTGCCCTTCTCCTGCACCAAAGAGGAACTCGAGGAGATCTGCAAGGCCCACGGCACCGTGAAGGACATCCGGCTGGTCACCAACCGGGCCGGCAAACCCAAGGTCGGTGTCTGAGCCTGGAGCCCGGGCGAGCCTCTGTTCAGATTGCTTGGTTCTAGAGTGGTTTCTGGTTTGTCTAAGAAACAGACAAGAAGTTAACAAGGATAGGTGCACGACGCTCTTTCCGTTTGGAGTCAGGTTCACTTGTGTGTGGATCACTGTACTGAAAAGAAGAAGATGTTGCAGGAAAGACTACTATGAATCAGCAGGGGCTCCAGTGTGGGCCCAGGCTGAGGGGCCTTGGGGTGAGGTGCCCGCCTTTGCAGCCTCCTCCCTCCTGCCTGGACCCTCTTCATGAGGCCTCCGGCATCTCCCTGAATCCCTGCCCTGCTGTCCCCCTTAGCATGTTCTCCCCCTGGTTCCTCAGCCTCCTGTGAAATCCTTGACCACGTTTTGAGTGGTTGTTTAAGAAGAGTTTGGTTTGAGAGGCCCCTTCACATTTGTCCAGGTTAATTGAGAGCTGACGAATACATGGGTAGCCCGGGGGCACGGGACATCGGGGCAGGGAAACGCGAGGGAGGGGCTCTCTGAACCAGCCCGGGGGCCTGCGTGGGGAGCCGCGTCCTGGCTGGCAGCGCTGACCTGGCCAGGCCTTACCCACCCTCAGGGCCTGGCCTACGTGGAGTACGAGAACGAATCCCAGGCGTCGCAGGCCGTCCTGAAGATGGACGGCATGACCATCAGAGAGAACGTCATCAAGGTGGCCATCAGCAACCCGCCGCAGAGGAAGGTTCCAGAGAAGCCGGAGGCGAGGAAGGCCCCGGGGAGCGCCCTGCTGCCACGGCAGGTCTACGGGGCGTAAGTGTCGTGCGCTCTGGTGCCGCCTGGTCGTGGGGGCCCCACGGTGACTCTGTTTCCCTCCAGGGCAGTGAGTTAGACAGAGGGTCGGGCCTGCCTGCTCCGTCCCGGGGCAGGGGTTTCCCAGCAAGTCCACGCCGAGGGCCAGCCCAGAAGTGGGCCCTCCCTTGTGTTCACTGGTTTACACTGGTGGTTTATTTAAGTTTTAAAAAGTTTTTTTAAAGACGGTGGTCATTCTGAAGTCCCCTTTGACAGGTGGATCCCTGTGTGTGGGCCCTGAACCTGACAGCCGGGTGTTGGCCAACTATAACCCTGGCAGAGCTGTGTTCTCAGCCCACGGGCACGAGGCGGCGAGGTCGCAAGGTTGTCTGGTGAGGTCTGTACGGTCACAGCCGTTCCGTCCACACTACGTGTGACCGTGTCGCACAGGGGTGGCCCTGTGCGACGCCAAAAAGTCGTGGCAAAGGCGGAGTTTGTCAAAGTCACTTTTACCTGATAGCGAGGCAGGGAGCTCAGGGCTGTCTCAGCCTTCTTGCTTGTTGCTTTCCACCTTTTGTGTTGGGGTGGTCCAGGACTGGCCTGGCTCACCTCACCAGTTGTCGCTTTGGGAGGTCCATGCATTGTTTGCTCTTCCAGGCGGGGTAAGGGGAGGACCCAGCTCTCTCTGCTGCCTCGTGCCCTGCAGCGCCCCAGCGCCACCACCGCCCAGGCTGAGAATGGCCCCGCCACCCTGCCGGCAGCCACCACCCCGGCCACCAGCGAGGCTCCCAAGATGTCCAATGCCGACTTCGCCAAGTTGCTTCTGAGAAAGTGAGTGGGACAGTGCGAGAAGGGAAATGCCTTACTTCACGCTGGCCGGGAAGACGCCCGGTGCCCAGTGGGGCCCTGGCCGTGCAGGGCCGGGTGCAGGGCACGGCCATACGCTTCCTCTGGTTTAGGCAGGACTGGAAAAGGGTGTCTAAGGAAAGTTGTGAGTGCTCCCTCATATTGAGGGCAAGAGGACAAAAACCATCACTCCACAGGCTGGGTGCTGGGTGTAGTTTCCTGAGATGCCTGTGTGTCTTGAAAGAGTTGAGAAACAGAAGTGAACTCGCACACACTGTTCTGAGGCCCACCTGTCCAGTATTTTTGGAGGATTCTGGTCCCTTTTTATAAGACACTTCCTACACCCTGCACGGCACATGTGCCCGTCACTCTTTTGATTTTTAAAAGACAAAATGGCAGATGCTAGTAATTCACCAGAATGGCCTATTTTAGTAAAGGGGTGGGGAGGGGACGTCACTTAAAAATCTGATGGGAGTTTTGTTCACAGGGCTGTGCGTTTTTATATTATGTATTTGTAAATGACTTGTCAACCCATTGTTTTGTTTCCTCAAAGAAAAATATTTGTGACATTTGTTTAGTGTAGGAACTTTGCGCGCCATCTGCTATGGACCATTTTCTTTGCCTAGTGACTAGTGAACTGTGTTCTTTGTCTAAATACTGAGTTTCAGCCCTTTGGTTTTTGTTAAAACACCATGTCAAGTGCAACCTTAAATTCTCTCCGTTTAGCTTTGTTTATTAAACTGAAGTTCTCTTAAAAACTTCTTGCAGAAAGGTACTCAGATGTGTGTTCAAATATGTATTTTGAAATGGGTGTACCTTGCTTTACCTGATAGATGTGTAAATAGACCTTTTGTAAGTCAGATCCAGTTGTTTTGCTTTAAACCATTTCAGCTGTGACACCTCCAGTTTACAGCAGTTCGGCGCTTACAGCTTTTCTACCCCTCATCTTTTATCCAGCATTTATTCCTTTGAAAGTGACGTTGCCAGTTCAGTAGGGAAAATTGATTTTATAAAGGCACTCTGGGGGAAAATATTGGAATTCTTTCCTTTGTGATGAAAAATTGGCTCATTTTTGTTTTTAAAGGTTTATGCATCAGTCAGTCTTTACTGTACTTTCTAGTGTAACATTGTTAATGGACCATTTGAAACAGGTAAGTAGAATAGTACTCTAAACCCCACACGCCTGCCATCGAGCTTCAGCCTTGCTCAGCTGGTCTTCGTCTCCACCTCTCCTGTACCCCCTGGGTCCCGCAGGGAGACCCCAGATATCACAGCGCCCCCACTATTGGCACCTATCTCTACAGACTTAAAGACAATGGTTTTATCGTTATTTCTAGAAACATGAGTAACGTTAATGTCAGCCAATCCAGACAAACTGCCAATTTCCTATTGTTTCTTAATAACCCTTTTAATCTGTAGGTTCTCTGTACCTCATCTTTTGCACAGAACGCTTGTTAGGTGTTTTTGAATTCAGGCAGCAGCTTTGAAGCTGTTGGAAGAGCCTGTGTTCTCCGGGGGTGGCTGGCCATCCGCTCCCCTGCGGAGGCCTGTTCTGTGGGTGAGAGGCTGCGGGTCAGGTGGGGACCAAGGGGCCGTGAACCTCTGCTTCTCAATCCAGGTCGCGGGATGCTAGGTAACGGTGGTGTTCTCTTGCTGTTCCAGTCCTCTGCCCTCACTGCATCCTCAGGTGTGCATAGAGCTCCTTACAGAGGTGGGCCTTTCAGACTTGAGCAGGACCCCATTTAGGTGTTGACTTTCAGAAATAGATTTTCGGGAACACAGGAGTGGGTTTGTGTTGTCCCTGGCTTAGGGGGAGCGGGTTTGGGGTGGAGGGGGAACTGATGGTGAATAGATACATGAAATACCATTCCAGTTATTTTAGTCTTAGTGCAAGGTCAGTGGTTCATCCCCGTTAGCATAACCAACCAGTTCTGTCTCACTTTCTTGTGACATTACCATCTTGGGTCTGCTTTTATTCTCACAACAATACAGGGCTAAAGTTCTGAAAGAGTCCCTCCTTCATCCCTAGGACAGATGGGAACATCTCTTGAGGAAGGTAGCAAAGTCTCAGGCATTTATGTAACAAAATACTTTATTAGTAATTTGTTAAAATTATATCCTTCAAATATAGCTAAAGTGCAAATTTCTCCCTCCAGGACAAAGCCAGCCCTTCAGTCAGGCTTCCTTGGTGTGCTTACAAAAAGCAAAACGGTAGAAGAGTTAAGGTTTAAGAAATATCTTATGGCATGCAAATACAAAAATACTCTTTATCAAGGCTTGAATAACTCACTTGGGTTCATTTAATACATCGTTTCACTTCTCTTTTAGAAAACTACTCTGCTTGTTACACAGTTAAATTCTGTAGAAACACTTAATGCATCAGAAGAGGGTCCTCCTTACCATCAGGATCTGAATTGCCTCCTCACACAGCACTCGGTGGGCGTTCACCCTCGTTCAGACATCGACAGTCCAGTGCTGGCCGTCACCGGCTCGGTCCCCAGAAAAGGGGCTCGATGGTGTCCAGCCTCTGGACTGAACAGCGGCAGTCGTGTTGGCACCTGTGCCAGGTAATGATTGAAAAGACTGCCTCCATAACAACAGTTTGGGTGTGTTACATGTAACGTTTTATATCTATGCTGCTGCCCCCAAGGGGACAGGGGCCATGGGGCAGGTAAGTGAATGAGAGGGATGCATCCTGGCTGTGGTCGAGGGTGTTTCTTGGTTCCTACAGAGTGGCGTCCTAACTCATCACAAACGCTTGTCTGGCACTGACTTGGCATCCGTCTTCTCTGATGTGTCCTAACACTTGACTTGCAGTAGGATTTAACTGTCGGGTGACAAACCCAGAGAAACTTTAGACTAAAACATCTGGTCTGAATTGCTGCGAATATGAGAAACATCAATAGAAACCAGGCTAGCCACACCCCTGTTCTTAATTAGAAAAAGTCCTGATGTGGAAAAACAGCCATATTTGGTACCAGAGGTTTGGAAACTGTGGCTCAAAGCATGTTCCTTGGACTAAGCAAGGTGTCTTAACTAGATACATGGTGAATGCTCACTTCCTGTCTCAGAAATCTGCTCTAGCAGTAAGATTAGTCACAACACTAATCTCTTTGTAGGGGCGCCAACACCTGTAAGAAATAAAGCTTTCAGTCCTTTCTCAGAACTGCAGCCAGGTCGTCCTCAGCCGTGGTGATGTCCCAGGGAGGCACAGACCCTCCCAGCTGGTTCCAGAAAGTGCTGGAAGGAGCTGCTCCTCCAGGGCTCGGCCCACACTCCTCACCTTAGTGCAAATTTTGCTCCAGAACTTGTGTTCTAGTCATATGAGCATGGATGCCCCTGAAACCACCAGGACCACCTCAGGGGTCAGGGCCACCAGCAGACACCACACGTGTGCCAGCTCAAAGGAAAATAAATAACTTGGCTCAGTTATAAATTATCTTGGGGACAAGGCTTAATAATTTAGTTTTCTTCTTTAAAGAGACATTTGGAGATAAAGAATGTTTTCAGTTCCTTCCCCATCTCCTTCTGCTCTGGGAGACGACTAGGTTTCTAGAAATGTGGAGTTTTTTTCCCTCTGCTGGGACATCCCCTTGCCGCCAAGGAGGGATTTGTAGCGTTAGGGCTTCACCGGCAGCGTCTCCTTGAACCCAGAGTGGTTAGGTCTGGCCTCTGGCAGCGCCACCGGGTACTCCGTGGTGGCGAAGAGCAGCGTGTCCAGGGTGGTCTCCGTGCACTTGGCGACGAAGCGGATGAAGGGCCTCACGTCGCCCTCGTTGGCGACCTCCAGCACGTGGTAGTACTCGGACCGCTGCTCCTTGCGGATGGTGATGGGCGGGTAGCCTGCCTGCATGAGGATGAGGTTCATGAGCAGGCGCGAGGTCCTGCCGTTGCCGTCGATGAAGGGGTGGATGTAGACGAGCTTGTAGTGGGCCAGGGCCGCAAACTCCACGGGGTGCAGGTTCATGGCGTCCTCCGAGTTGAACCACTGGATGAACTCCTGCATCTGCTTCTCTACCTCCTGTGGTGGGGGCGGGATGTGGTGGCCCACCAGGACCTGCGTGGTGCGGAAGCGGCCGGCCTCCACGGGGTCCACGTAGCCCAGCACCCGCCGGTGGATCTCCAGCACGTCGCCGATGCTGACGGAGCCCACGCGGGACAGCAGCGTCGTGTTGACGTACGTCATGGCTGCGTGCATGCCGATGACCTCGTTCTGCTCCTCCAGGCTCTTCCCCGGCACTGCGTAGCGCGTCTCCAGGATGTGCCTGATCTCCGAGAGGGTGAGGGTGTTGCCCTCGATGGCCACCGTGTGGTAGATGTGGTGGTAGTACGTCTCCTCCATCACCCGGCGCAGCGCGGAGTTGCCCTTGGGGATGGACATGACCTTCTTCACTTTGCTGTCAATGATGCTGAAGAAGCGCTGGTCGATCTCCTCCACCAGCGGCAGCGTGCGGTCGCGGTTGACCAGCGCCTTCTCATGGTGGGGCGCGATGGTCAGTGCGCGGGTGTACAGGTAGTCCGCCTGGATGATGTCCTTGTCCTCCTCCGAGAAGATGCCGAACTCGTTGAGGGCATCCACGAAGCCCGGGTCCATCTTGAGGGCGTGCAGGAAGAGCTTGTGGGCCTTCTGCCGCTTGCCCTGCCGTTTCATTTCCAGGGCCTGGTTCAGAGCTGCTTTGGCCTCCAACGTGCCGGCTACAAAAGAGCCAGAGGCACAGAGCAGGCAGAAGATGTTCAGGGGGCCCATCACCTGGGCTGTCTCCCCCACAGCCTCAGGGCCCCCTCCAGCCAGGCTGTACCTGCCCTCCCGTGTGCCTGTCTGTGCAGACGGGTTTGTTCCCTGCAGCCCCGTGGGGCCCTGGGCTGGTCATTGTCCACTCAGACCCCGAGCCACTCTCTACCATGCGGGCATCAGCTGGGTGCCCTGGCCCCTTCTGAGCGGTCGTGTTCCTGGATGGCCACTGCTCCCATCCGGCAGCCCTTCCCTACGGCTGCTCCAGCTCACAGCCACTCTAGTGACTTCTGGAGGTGCGGGTCCCTTCTCCCTGCATCCACCCTGCCCCTTTAGACCCTGAGTATGAAGGGCTCTCCACTGCTGCTAGGCCCTGGGGGCCTCCTCATCCCTGGACCTTTTGACCTAATGGTTTTCAACCAGACCCTCCATTACACCTGGCCCTTTTCTGCCGCCCTCCCACCTTCAGTGCCAGCCACACCTCCTGGGTGGCTTTTGGTTCAAGGGTGCAGCGCCCTCCTACCCTTTCCACTTGAATCACTCTCCCCTCATACCTTCTCCCTCAGGTCTCTCTGCAGGCGTCCCCTCCTTCAGGGAGCCTTCCTGGCATGCTCCCTTGGCTTCCTCTGCTCCATAGCACCACCCCTATCTTGGCCACCTATTACCTGTGTAGCTGGGAGCTCAGGGCGACCACATGCCCTGCACACAGGACATAGCAGGCCCTCTGAACACTTGTGGGATCAACGATCGTTGAGGAGAGATGGCCAGTCTTACCTGGAGAGGCCTTGGTCTTGACCCCCAGCAGCACCGCACCCCTGGAGGTGAGACTGAGCTCCGTGGATGGCCTGGTGCACTTGGTGATGGCAGGCTGCGCCTGCTCCAGCTTGCTCCTAAGCAGGTAGAAGCCCTTGAGCACAGTCAGACAGTGTTCTTCCACCGTCCCCAGCGGCAGCAGCAGGGCCAGCAGGGAGCCCAGCACCATGCTCAGCAGCATCGCCCACAGGAAGCGGCCCCAGACTGAGACCCACTTTGGTTCAGTCACCGCCATCACCGAAGCCATCGGCGTGAGTGTCATCTGGGCCCAGAGGCAGGCCCCTTGCACACATCCACAGGGGCCTGGGAGACAGCAGGACCTGCAGGAGGTGAAGCAGGGGAACGACACCTTCAGGACACAGGCCTGGCTCCAGCAGAGTCTCAGAGACCTTCCCCTTCACCCCCACGCCTCTTAACTGATGACCGGGGGTGGGGGCAAGGCAAAGGTGGGTGCCCTGTCCAGGGTGGTGCGACTGCAAAGGAATACTGCTGCAGCTCGACGCTCACTAAACACTTGCTGCGTGCCAGGCCCCGTGCTGAACCCTGGTGGCAGCCTCGTACGCTCTCTCCTGCGGTCTTCAAGCAGAAGCCCGGCTCTGCAGCTGAGACAGGTTCAGGGAAGTGAAGGCCCTTGCCCAGAGGCACTCGGACAGCAAGTGACGGCCTTGGGACCTGAGTGCGGAACCCACGGCTCTAGTCTCCCCACTTAGGCACAAATCTCTGTGGCCTCAGACCCAAAACGGTGTCCTGGATACACAAGACACAGGTCCAACAGCTAAGGCAGTTCTGAGGCTCGTTTGAGAAGTACATCTGTTTGGGGGCCTGATTTATTGCCACCTGGGCAACCACCTCCCCCTGCCCTGGCCCTGATATTACCCACAATACTGTTTCCTGCTCTGGCCTTCCTTTTCTGCCCTGTCCAACAGGCATCTGGCCTAGAGTTTGGGCAGTCTGAGAATCTTAAGAGGAACTCAGGTTGTGGGTCTGAGGCGTGATTGACCTCTATGACAGTGAGCAGGTGCTTGGGGCTGGCAGTGGGAGTGGAGGAGTCCAGTCTGCAAGCACCACCATGCTAACAATAAGCATTTATTAGGCAACTATGGTGTGCTGGGTACTGAGGTGAGTACCAGCTGTGCCTCATCTCCCCCCTCATCATCCCACGGAGCTAAGATGCCCCAGGCGTTAACTTTTCAGCTGAGGAAAACTAACACACTGAGTAAGTCAACACCCAGACGACCCACAAGAAGTAAACAGGCATCAGGAACGAATCCCCAGTGCATCTATGTCTAGAGTACCTAGGTCTTCCCCACCACCTTAACTCACAACTAGGGCCCAAGCACCAACTCCTGGTACTAGACCAAGACCCCGAACTGATGACGTTTCAGGGGGAGCCTGGCTGGTCGATACAGAACATCCGAAAAGGCTTGGTACGAACTCTAATGCGGAGGTACAGAAGAAGGTGCGGGTCACTGCTCCGTCCAGGTGGTCGGGGCTCTCCGGCCCGGCTGCAGCTTGCCAGGGAGGAAGTGTGTTCCTGAGAGGCACGAATCTCAATGCTCACTAGCTAGGAAGAGGGAAACTGAGGACCCGAGAGGACACTGAACTAAGGTCATCCTGGGGACCCTCCCCTTTCCGAACCCCACCCAGGGTTCACTGCCCCGCTGCACCCTTCCCCGCCCACCCCCTCCTCACCTCGCGGCGCTGCCAGGCCCTGTTGTCACCTTCTCAGCGCTCGCAGTCTTGGCTGGCGGCCGGCTCCCCGGACCTCCGCCGCCGGCCCATGGCCCCGCCCTCGGCGACTCGCCATTGGTCGGTCCGCCAGCCTCTTCGCAGCGGATTGGCTTCCTCAACTTGTCGGCGTCTCGCACTTCCGGGTTCCCGCGTCGGCCTCCGCTTTCCCGGGAAAGACGCGCCGTGGGCCACTCCCATTGGCTGACTCCTGTATCGGTCTCGTGCTAGAAAGGGCCAATAAGCAATAGGGAGGGCGGGGCCAGGGCGACCAGCGGGAGCCCTGGGCACGGGGAAAACCCCTACCTAGGCGGCTTTGGGGCCTTCTGGGTAGCGACAGGGAAACGAGGTTCCGATTGCCTTTCCCTTATGCCCAGGAGAGGATGAGAAGGGGCCCTGGGAAGGAGGGTGCCTCAATTTCCTTAGGTGTAAAATGAGGCGGCTGATGGTTTAAGCCTGTGTCTGACTTCCGAGCCCTCATTCACAGCCTGGTCTCTGCTACCAGGGCTGCCGGCTTCTCTCTTTCACCTTCTTTTCCTAAGTTTTAAATTTACATACTCTTGCGAAGAGCCAGCCTGGTTCTCCTGCCTCCCGGTGTGGACAAAGAATGTTGCCTGCCATTTTAATAAACAATGTTGCTGCCATTCCGGTAAACAGCAGACTATGGCCATCCCACAAGCCATCAACCAGCTGCCCAGAGGGTGTGTCCTGAGGGGAACTCAGGATGGAGAAAAATAGAATAGGGGGCCTGGACAGTTCAGATGCAGTCAAAAGAATAATTTCAATGAGCCTAGATTCTTCCATCTTTTCATATCTAGGAGAGCACTAAAATCATTAACTTGAGATGTCTGTTTTTGTGATTAACGGTCATGTTTGGATGTTCAACTGCATCTCTCCCCCACCCCAACCTCCACCTGGCCCCAGCCAAAACTCATCCTAGCTCCTCCCTTACCTGTTTGGAACAGATCTTCAGAGCTGAGAGACTGTGTATTGGGCCATATAGTCCTCAGTAATGTGCCCGAATAAAACAACTTTGAGCTTGTATGGTTTCTGTGGGTTTTTTTTTCTTCAGTTGACAGAAGTTTTCCTTGAAGCAGAGAGCTGAAACCTCCATCTTAATTGACAAATATTGACATTAAACATGCAGGATGCATCCAGAAATGCTAAGCTCTAAGTACATGAGGTTAAAAAAAAAAATGTTACCACTCCAGTTTCTGAAGTCAGAGAGACCTGGGCTTCAATTCAGATTTTGTCACCTCCACTCTGTGTCCTTGGGCAAGTCTCAGTCCCCCCATTTATAAAATGGGGGCTAACAGTCTGCCTCACTTTTGCCCTGACGTCTGGGATTTGCAGAAGCCCTGACACCAAATCAAGTTCCTCTTATCCTATCCACAGCATGCCAAAATGCTGAGAAGCTGAGGTTTACGGCAAAGAGGATTTATTCAAAAGGTAGCCAAGTGAGGAGACAGGAGAACAAATCTAAGATCCTTCTCTCTGAAAGCCAGGGGCTCAGCGTATTTACTTGAGTTTCTCTTGCGTTTCCCTTGTGGCTCAGCTGGTAAAGAAACTGCCCGCAATGCGGGAGACCTGGGTTCAGTCCCTGGGTTGGGAAGATCCCCTGGAAAAGGGAAAGGCTACCCACTCCAGTAGTCTGGCCTAGAGAACTCCATGGACTGTATAGTCGATGGGGTTGCAAACAATGAGCGACTTTTTTAACAGGAGGGAAAGGGGTAAGGCACAACTTTTGAAAGAATGACACATTCTTGTAGCCCAAGGACACAAGATAAACCAATTAGAATCAAGTGGGACCAAGATGGCAGACAAGACTAGACCTTGATCCTCAATCAGCAAGTGAAATGACACACCAGAGGTGCCATGACAGTTCCAAGGCACTGTCAAAAGACCAGGAAGTGGGCGGTGGCCCGAACCCTGGAAATCTCCTCCCTTCCCAAAATAGTTGGAATAATCCTCCCACTCATTAGCACATGAAATTACCCAGTCTATAAAAACTAACCATGCGACATTTTGCACCGTACTTGCCCTTTGCGATGGCCCATGCTCTATCTGTGGAGTGTGCTTACCTCTGCTGCTGTTGCTAAGTCGCTTCAGTCGTGTCTGACTCTGTGTGACCCCACAGACGGCAGCCCACCAGGCTCCCCCGTACCTGGGATTCTTCAGGCAAGAACACTGGAGCGGGTTGCCATTTCCTTCTCTATATATCCACTACTTACCTATCATTTTGTCTCTCACTGAATTCTTTCTGTGATGAGAAATCAAGAACCTGAGCTTCATTAGGTCCTGAAACCAGGTACCATGGGTTTTGGCTGGGTTTAAGTCCCAGCCATGTGGGTTCAAGTTCCAAGCAGGGTTTTGGCTGGATTTGAGTCCCAAATATTGTTTCCTTGGGCTCCAAAATCACTGCAGATGGTGACTGCAGCCATGAAATTAAAAGATGCTTGCTCCTTGGAAGAAAAGTTATGACCTAGACAGCATATTAAAAAATAGACACATTACTTTGTCAACAAAGGTCCGTCTAGCCAAAGCTATGGTTTTTCCAGCAGTCATGTATGGATGTGAGAGTTGGACTATAAAGAAAGCTGAATACCCAAGAGTTGTTGCTTTTGAACTGTGGTGTTGGAGAAGACTTTTGAGAGTCCCTTGGACTGAAAGGACATCCAACCAGTCCATCCTAAAGGAAATCAGTCCTGAATATTCATTGGAAGGACTGATGCTGAAGCTGAAACTCCAATACCTTGGCCCCCTGATGCGAAGAGCTGACTCATCTGAAAAGACCTTGATGCTGGGAAAGATTGAGGGCAGGAAGAGCAGGGGATGACAGAGGATGAGATGGTTGGATGGCATCACTGACTCAATGGACATGAGTCTGAGTAAACTCTGGAAGTTGGTGATGGACAGGGAGGCCTGGCATGCTGCAGTTCGTGGGGTCACAAAGAGTCAGACACGACTGAGCAACTGAACTGAACTGAGTCCCAGTCACGTGGGTTCAAGTCCCAAGCAGGGTTTTGGCTGAGTTCAAGAGCCACATGGGTTTGAGTCCCAAACTGGGTTTAGGCTGGTTTCGAGTCCCAGCATGTGGGTTTAAGTCCCAATCTGTGGTAAACAATTTCATTTTCACTTTCAGGGTATTTACGAGATGAATAAAGCTGCTGGGTGATTGGAGGCTTGGGGATCATGGGGCAGGTAACTGGAAGAAGGTGTGAAAACTGTGGGTCTGTGCAGGCATAACTAAGCTACAGGCCTCCACACATTTAAAAGGTCACAGAGGGACCCTCACCATGCCCCGGTGAAGGGTGAGTGATCCTAACCCATCTCAGCCAGCTCAGTTCAATCTAGACACAACTGACTCCAATTTGGGTAAACATCTTATTGTTTAGCTATGGGCAGCTTCTGAAACGAAGCAGGGTCCTATAGTCCTCCCCATGTCCCCCGCCTGCCTTTTGTCTGTGGAAAAACTGTCACCAAGAATGAGTTTAATCGGAGAAGTGAGAAAATGCAGGCACAGAGGAAGAGTCC